GACTCATCCATGTGACTAAGCACGTTCCTGGCACTCGGGAGGCTGAAGCATGAGAACTTAGAACAGTGATTCTCAGCCTTGCCAATGGTGTGTGTGTGTGGGGGGGTGACCTTTAAATACAGTTTCTCATGTTGTGGTGATTATCTTCACTGTTACTTCATAACTGCAAGTTTGCTACCAGTATGAATCAAAATATAAATATCTTTGGTTTGCCAAAGGGGTCTCAACCCACAGGTTAAGAATGGTTGCTATAGATAGACCTTTAGGCCATGCTGAACTATACAGTGAGAGCCTCTCTCTCATTTCCTAGGCTTATTTTTAAAATTCATTTACCCTTACTTTATGTGCATTGGTGCTTTGCCTGAATGTTTGTGTGAGGGTGTCAGATCTTGGAGTCAGAGACAGTTGTGAGCTGCCATGTGGGTGCTGGGATTTGAAGCCAGGTCCTCTGGAAGAGCAGTTAGTGCCCTTAACCACTGAGCCATCTCATTTTCTAATTTACAAATAAGGAAAGGGTACTGACTGCTCTTCCAGAGGACCCAGGTATGGTGTATCTCACTGTAGCTCACTGTTAGGTGAGCTGGACGATAGGAAGTGCAGGGTCCTCCTATTTCAGCTACACAATGAGTTTGAGGCCAGCCTGGGACACACGAGACCCTGTTTTTAAAAAACAAAACAGAGGACCCGCAAGATAGCTTAGAGGGCAAAAGTGTATGCTACCCACGATAACAACATGTGTTGGGTTCCCAGAACACACCTGGTGGAAGGAGAAAACCAATTCCTGCAAGTTGTCCTGGGACCTTTGCATGTGAGCCATGACAAGCAGGCATGCACACACCCACAGACCAAATAAAGAAATACATGGAAAATGTTTAAATTCAAAACTGGAGGGGTGTAGAAAGGAGAGAGAAGGAAGGAAATGAAGTCTCTGTTTCCTTGTTTTTGTATGTGTATTGGTCTGTGTGTTTGGCTGGTAGGTTTGTTTGTTTGTTTGTTTGTTTGTTTGTTTGAGACAGGGTTTCTCTGTGTAGCTCTGGCTGTCCAGAACTTGCTCTGTAGACCAGGCTGGTCTCAAATTTAGAGATTCACCCGCCTCTGCCTCTGGAGTGCTGGGATTAGAGATGTGCGCCACTACCGCCCAGCTGAGATGAGGTTCACCTTAAAGGCAGTCTAATACTCTCCTGTGCTTGTGCTTCTTACCGGCTTATCCACTGGTGGACACTTGGATTGCATCATCTTTTCAGCCACTGTGAACAAGCTTTCAGTTTGGGGGTATATGCTCAAAAGTGGGGGTGCTGGGTCATATGGATAGTCAGAGACTGGTTGTTTAGAAACTACTAAGTTCTCTACATCCTCAGAAATAATAATTTTCTTTTTTTTTAAGAGTTATTTGTGCTTTATGTGTGCGAGGTTTTGTCCGCATGTACATCTTGCACACCAGAAGAGGGCGTCGGATTCCATGGGACTCCAGTTACAGACTTGTGAGCCATTATGTGAACTCAGGACCTCTGGAAGAGTAGCCTGTTCTCTTAACCACTGAGCCATCCTTCTGGCCCCAACATTTCTCCCCTCCCCTCCCCTCTCCTCTTCTCCTTCATTCCTCCCACCCCCCTCTATTTATTTTCAATAGCAGCCATCTCCATGGATACAAAGGTCTCTGGATAGGCCATAAAAATATGAACTTAACCTTGAGCACTCTGTGGTGGGTGGACTGAGCATGGCACACTGCCTTGCTTGTTGTCTCCACAGGTCCTCAGGCCCGGGGTCCTAGCGATGAGGGGCTTTCATCCTCGGGGGAGAGGAAAGGGAAGGGACATAGTGGAGCTATCAAAGCCTGTCTTTTTTTGACTCACTTTCAGTTCATCATAAAGCATCTCAACCTGCTAATGGGTTTCAGGATCATGCTTTTCCACCTTAATTAAACTAATCCTCACATTATGATCAAGAAATCTCATAAAAAAATGATTTGTAACGACATCACACATAGGAGGTAAAGTGAATAATGTGAGCCAGGAGGAAATGAGGAGTGACAATTCCTGTGACCCTCACAGAGCCCCTTATCAGCCACAGAAACCAAGACAAGCTGATGGGTTGGTCCAAACAAAGGAGAGAATTAAGAAAAGCAATTAAAGAACGAATGAAGCCCTTAAAGATTTACATCTGCCCCATAAAACCCACCCCAAAGCGTGTGTCCTGAGAGAGTGCCATGAATCCTACCCACTAGACCACCAGGAAAGAGATTGAAGTGTGCACTGTGCTCTGTGTTAGCCAGACATCAGCCAATGAGCAGACATGCCATGTCAAACATGAGCAAAAATACTCGGACACAGTGACTGGCTAGAGGGTCCCTGACATTTATTCCTGGATCTTCTAGGCAAATACTCATCAGTTTGGAAGAACAACAGAAAGGATACTGAGAGAGGTTTGGAGCGAGTGTCATATGTGGAGGACTGAAGTTGACATTGCTCGGGCACAGTCGCCTACCTTTAAGCAGCACCCCAGGATTTTTTAAGACAGGAGTTAGGTCTGTGGACAGCCCTTGGGGTTTCTCCAGGCTTCCTCTGTATCTCTTTTGAAGCTGCTTCCTGTGACTTCTTCCACTTAATTGTGTCCCTATGGACTTGGGTTGTTTCCTCTGTAAGATGGGGCTGGTATCTACTTTTCTCGAGGCTGTGGGGAGATGCCTAGCAGAGTGCCAGGGGTCCTCCAGGGGCAGCCTAGGAGGATGACTGGACTATTTATTAACTAGGAAAAAACAGTACATTATACATCTGTTATCATCATACCGAGTATAGCAGGAAATGAGCATCAGCGCGATCCTGCTCTCAGGGCTGACCATTTCTATCCATGACTTTAGGAAAGAGTGCATGATCCTCATTTGTTTCACTTACCCCATCGAGAGGAGTTCAGTTTCAGTAGTCTTTGTAAAGTCATTTTAACGGTTACATCGCACCCCACCAGTGGCTAACCTGTATTTCTCCCCCTCCCTCCGCCAGTCCTCTATTTCTTTTCTTTCCTCAATGCTGGGAATGGAGCCCAAGACTTTCCACATGCGAGGCTATGCAAGCTGCTCCAACACTCAGCCCCAGCCTTCTTCTTAGCTCTGCAATGGTTCTTCCCCATAAGCCTGGTGAGCACTCCCAGGTCTGGCTTGCACTGCTCCCTTCATGAGCTCCCTTCAGTCTGGATGGCATTGGAACTCAGGCCAGGATCTCAGTGATACCTGATGGCCCCCAGGTCTCTTCCTTCCCCTCAGGGCAAGAGGGATATGGTGATCATTCACTCTTCCACTGTCACCCATTTTGTAGGGCCAAGCAGCCAAGATGTTCCCTGGACTGTTAGACTATGAACAGTGACCACATGACAAGTTGGAGAAAGATGAGCGGAAAGAAGGGAGAGAGAGGAAGGGGGAAGGGAAGTGGAGGTAAGGAAGAAAAAGGAAAGAGGGAGGAATATCTTTGTACACCTCCAAGCCATGTTGTTTCTGCTCCAGAACATTCTTTCCTGGGCAAACTCCTTCTAACCCTCCAAGATCCAAAGGGCATCTTCCTCCACGTGTCCCTCCAGTTGCACGGCCTTGCCTTGACCCTCGTGGCAACCCTGTGAAGGGCACTTGTGAAATGCATTGCACTGACAGGGCAGCTGAGGCTTGCAAGGTTCCAACCATTGTCTAGACGCACCTCATCTTCTGAGAGGTGCACAGGCAGAGAGATCACCCATCTGCCCCTGAGGACAGGGCCAGAGCCCAGAGAAGAAGCTGGGCTCTCCTGTCTGGGATCTGTGGACAGCCTATCTTACCCAGACAGCCTGTTGATGGACGCCTGGAAATGCCAGAAAAGGACATCAGGAACAATGGAGGCAGAAACTGGAGCACAAGCTGGACTTCTGTTCCTGGCTGAACTGTGACCAACAGCAAGCACATACTCCTGAGAGCTCAGGCTCGGGGTTTTCTTTCTTCTAACCCACCTGCTGTTTCTACTCTGCCTAGAAGGGAGATGCCCACATCCTTCACTGCCTCATCTTGCCTTCTGTCACCTCCCCCTTTCCTCCTCTCCCCTCCCCTCTCCTCTTTTCCCTTCCTCCTGCTTTTCCCTTTCCCTCTCCTAGTATCTTCCCTCCCTCTTCTCCTCTTCCTCTTTCTCTCTCCTTCCTTCCTTCTCCCCTCTCTTTCTAAAACAAAACAAAACAAAACAAACAAAACCCCCCAAAACCCAAAACCAAACCAAACAAAAAATATACATGGCTTTTGCTGCTGCTAAAATCTTGTCTGTACAATGACCTCTCTGACACTTCCACGCACACAGAGCCAAGGGACCACCTCCCGATGGATATTTCAGATTGACCCCAAGATAGCCCAACTTCTCCATTTGTGTATGAGGTAGCTCTAAATTCTTTGCTTCCTGACCACAATCCTTCCACGGTTTCCTATTGTCTCAGAGAAGTCCACACCTGACTAAGCATTCCATCTAACATCTGCAGTCTTCATCAGTCCCCATCCTCCGTGGGGTGGAGCGTCCCTGTGGTACCTTCCATAGACTCCTCAGATTACACCAGACAGCTGGTGGCTGGATTAGCACCAGGGGTGCTAGGCTAGATGATTTATTTGTCTTGTGACATGCAAGACACCTGTCAGCTGCCGTTGAGGGCAGCATGTCAGAGCCATCTCCCTCAGGCTTAGGCTCTTGTGCTTCCTTCTGCTGTCCTAGCTGCCATGTGTGCTCCCAGACCCTCGCTCTGGCTCATCTTAGTCTGTCCACAGACCTCAGCACTCCAAACATGGCTTGTTTCAGATGTGTCTCCTTAGGGTGCCCCGTTTCCCCAAGTGTAGCTGAATGAGCTGTGGCTATTTTTTTCTGGGTCCAGGTCACTTCGAGTTCTTCCATACCAGGAGGGAAGGGTTGAGGTCCAGAGAAGATCCTGGGTTCTCTCTGGGTCCTTTAGAGTCTGGCCCCATTTTTGTGCCCAGGAAACTGAGGCAAGCCCTCTGCTGTGTTTTGCAGGAGCTCTCCAAGCTGGGCTTAGGGGCGGACACTAACTTAGAACTTGGAACGCTGCAGCTGCCTGTGGATTACAGGGAGGTGAAACGGAGGCTGACCACAATCTGGGAAGATTTGCAACCACAAGTAAGTGATGCCTGGAGAGGCAGTGGGCCTGGGAATCTGATGATGGGCCTAGGGCCTAGGAACTTCCTGGGCCAGGACTCAAGGATAGCTCCTACCTAAGAGAGAGAGGACCTGAATTAAGCCCTGAGTATGGCCAGTTCTGGTTGTTCTGAGGAACTTAAGGCAAAGAGCTTTGGGCCTGGAAAGGTCGGATGGTGGGCCACCCAGGGTCGGCCCACCTTCAAAGCGTGCTGCCAGGGTCCTGGTGTGGTGGTGCACACCCGGAGCCCCAGCACTTGGGAAGCAGAAGCAGGTGGATCTCTGTGAATTTAAATCCAACCCGGTCTACACTGTGAGTTCAAAAAACCTATTTCAAACCAAAGCACTCTGCCTACATAATAACAGAACATAAACTCTGCATATAAAAAGGGGGTCCAAATATCCATTCCCCCAGTGACCACAGAATGAAGGAATCACACACAGCACCCTGTGGTAAGACACTGACAGAATACTGCAACAAAACCCTCTGCAACTATTTTCAAAACAGGAAAAATAAAGTCGAATAAGATTTTATTAGATTGTTGCTAGCTTCATTTATGAAAGTTTCATTAGAAAGATGTGTGGTTTTGGCAATGGATGATGGTGCACGCCTTAATCCCAGCATTTGGGAGACAGAGGCAGATGGATCTCTGTGATTTCAACACCAGTGAGTTCCAGGACAGCCAGGGTTCTGTTACACAGAAAAACCCTGTCTCAAAAAACCACAAATAAGTGAGTAAGTAAATAAATAAGGTGTGTGATTTCACTAAAAGCCAGCCTTTCCCAGGGTCTTAGATACCTGCTTGCTTCAACCCACCACCCATGGGGAAAGAGAGCACACAGCCTCATAAGAACCATTTGAAATAGAAAAGTCCCTGACTGTAGATGTAGCATGCCTTATTTAACCCAAAGGGATGCTCCTCTTGTTCCAGCACCCTTAGTTGAGGGCCGAGGCAGGGATCCAGGGGTTTCCTAGTAGATTTGTGTTAATTTTGTACCCTGAAGCTGGGCTCTGCCACGGCTGGGCCTTTCTGCACATCTAGTGCTCTGGTGTCCCAGGATTTGTGCTCTGTCTGTTCACACAGCTTGCTGTGCACGTGGGCATGGACACGTCCGCCAAGGCCATCTTTCTGGAACAGTGCGGCAAGAACCGAGGTTATCGGGATTCAGACGTAAGAGGCTTCCAGCCCGAGGGTGGCGTGTGCCTCCCAGGTGGTCCCGAGGTAATGCTGTCTGTCGTCAGCATGAAGGAGGTCTCAAGGCGAGTTGCTCTTGAGGATTTCAAGGTGGCGTTCTCCCGAGATGCGGGCAGGTACACTTCAGGTGTCCGTGTGACAAGCAGGTGGGAGAGAGGGACTGTCCTTCAGAGCCCCTTCTCTTGACTCAAGAGGCTATCCTATGTTGTCTGTGTGGCTGCTTTGGTCATAGGTACCCCAGAGTTGCCCGTCTTTGTCACAGGCACACAGATTAACTTAACCTCTTCTCCAAATGCCAGCAGCCCCTCCCCACTAAGCACTTCCTACTTCCCCTTCCTCTTCAAGGGATAACGTAATGTCTGAGGGAAGATGGAAATGAGCGAGTCATTGCCCCGTGAAGGTGTCTTACCACTAGTTGTTTGAAAGTCTGGTTCGATTCTGTCCCGACAACGTGCTGGCCATTAGTTTGTTAGCCCAAGAGCCCATGTCTGTCTGGCAGGTTCTCAGCTCCATGTCCTTTCTCGATCAGAAGAACCAAACTCAAGTGGTAGTTCCCTCACGCTTTATGAAAAACTGCGCTTACCCCGTGTCTGGAAGTGACGAGGGCCAGGACTCATGAGGGTTTCATGTGTGTGCAGGTACGTCTGTGATTACACCTACTACCTGTCTCTGCACCTCGGAAATGGGCATGCAACACTCATCCATGTCCCTCCTCTGTCACACCGGCTCCCAGCCAGCCTTCTGGCCAAAGCCTTGCGAGTCATCATCCAAGAAATGTTGGAAGACAGTGGAGAAGTCCAGACTCAAATGGCAGCAGCTTAGGGAAGCAGCGGCTGGGGGTAGAGGTTTGGGGGCTGGGGGCTGGGGGCTGGCTCCTTTAGATGAAATGTTTCAACCCTGGCTGGAAAGGCCAGCTGTGCTTCTGAGAAGGTCTAGAAACGGTTACACGTCTAGAGGTTAGGGCAGGAGGTGGACACACAGAAGCAAGAAGGAAAGTGAATTCCCAAAGGCAGATGCTTCACAAGGGATTGACTAGCTGAAGCTATGGCTTTCATGGCAATAAAATGCAAGCTAAAAATTTCCCTTCCAAGGCTGTGTGGTCCTTCCTGGATTGATGGGATGAGAGAGCTTCTTCAGAGGTTCCAGGTGTAGCCCTGGCTCCAGGGCCCTAAATTCTGATTCCCAAGCTTGTCATTCAGGACCTTTGAATGGCTTTGGGGGCCATCCAGTCTTTACTGTTTAGCTTTCTCCCCCCCCCTCTCCTTCCCCCTCCCATTCCCCTCCCCATCTCCTCTGGTCATTTTAACAAATTTTAAGCAAGCAGTTCATTGGCATTTATCACACAGACTCTGCTGGGCAATCATCCTCACAGTCGGTCTATCACTTTCTCTGCAACCATTTGTTGTGGTTTGAATGTGAACTTCCCCTCACCCCTCATGTGTTCGAACTGCTTGGTTTTCAGTTGGTGAAACTGTTTTGGAGGGCTGTAGAATCTTTAGGTGTGTGGAGCCTTGCCTGAAAAAGTGAGTTTCCTTTTCACTGCCCATTCCTGAAAGCAGATGCAATGTGACCAGCCCGCCTCCTGCTGCTGTCACTCCGCCTTCCCTGCACGAGGCGTCTGCCCCACCTTGAAGTGTGCACAGCAGCAAAACCTTTTCTCCTTAAATTGCTTTTGTCGGGGCACCCTGCCACAGCAACAGGAAAAATATGCTTCTGAACACTCAGAGTCCGCCCTCAGTGACACCTCCTCTGACAAGGCCATACCTCCTAATCCTTCTCAAACAGTTCTACCAGCTGAGGACTGAGGATTCAAACACATGAGCCTGTGGTGGCCATTCTCATGCAAGCCATCATACTCCTTTTTGTTTTCATTTTAGGACACTACACCAAGTCTTGTGCCAAGCTTCCCACAGCGAAGAGCTGTGTGTCTACCATGTCAGTGTCTTTTGGGTACTCATTTTCAGTATGAGCCCCATGAGTAGCACTGTTTCCTCTAAGGAAGTAGATGAAGGTAGCTATGAAACACTGGGACATTTCTTATTATGTTGGGGTGCTCATAACTGTTGGCTTACTGTAAGAAAGGCATTTGTAGCCTAATAGCTACTTAGGGAGATTGAGTTGTGAGTATAGTTCAATGGCAGCGTGTTGCATGAGGCCTAGTCTCTATGTGTTTTAAGACAGCCAGGGAGGGGGGGAGGGGGAGAGGAGAAGGGGGTGGGTAGAGTAGCCACCAAAACCCAGGTCAATACCAAAGGAACTGAAAAGCTTTCATTTGTGGTTTATTTTGTATTGTTGAGATAGGGATTTCTCTGTGTATCATTGGCTGCCCTGGAACTCCTAGAAATCTCCCTGCCTCTGCAAGAAATAACTCCAGAAGACTCCCTCTGCAAATAGACCAGGGGCATTTTACATAGGATGGATTCAAGTCACGCTAAGGCAGATCAAAGGTAAAGGTGGGTTGGGAGGGTTCAGGCCACCTGCACACAACCTGGCTGCTTGGCCGGTCCCATGGAGACCCTTAGAGATTAGGAGGTGTGGCCTTGTCAGAGGAGGTGTCACTGAGGGCGGACTCTGAGTGTTCAGAAGCATAAGTTATTCCTGTTGCTGTGGCAGGATGCCCCGACAAAAGCAATTTAAGGAGAAAAGGTTTTGCTGCTGTGCACACTGCAAGGTGGGGCAGACGCCTCGTGCAGGGAAGGTGGAGTGACAGCAGCGGGAGGCGGGCTGGTCACACTGCATCTGCTTTCACCGGCAGTAACTCACTTCTTCAAGCAAGGCTCTACCACCTAAGGATTCTACAGCCCTCCAAAACGGTTTTGCCAATTGAGGACCAGGCAGTTCAAACGCATGGAAGAACTCCTGCTCCATACCTTAAGTACCCTGTTCTGGGAGAGGGTTCCAGGGTTACTTCCGTTCACTTGGCACCCAGCCAGACACATCAAAAATGTTTTTTGTTGTTGTTGTTGTTTTAGAGATACCTGGTCGGGAGGCCCAGAGCTCCCCACTGATGAACCACTCTTTCATCTCATTTCCTCTTCTGTGCCCCTCAAGACCTTGAAATTCCTCAAGACTCGAGGAACCCGCCTGCATTGTATGTGTGTGTTGCAAATGGCTTGGTATCCCCTGGCAATACACACTGTATCCTGTTAAGGCTGATAGTGGGTGGTTTTGTATGTTTGATAGCCATAGTGTCAAATGCTGGTCTATGCTGGGCCGTCTAACAGCTGGGAGCTCTGAAGCATGACTGTGCGTTCATCATAAGGCAGACTAATAAAAAGTCCCACCTTTGCAGGTTGGCTGTAAAAACCCAGTGCAGGGGTGGATGAGAAAACATGTCACCAACGACACACAAGTACCAGTGAGGGTGGGGAGGAGGGGGAGAAAAATGAAGGAGGAGGGCGAAGAAAACGAAGAAAAGCTCTGAGTATGGGCTCTCAGCTTGTGGCTTAAATATGGGTTTTTGTTTTGGCGTATTGTAAATCTAGCTAGCAAAAAAGTGTAAAAAAGAAAAAAGGAAATATAGAACCCACTTAAGAGGTGACTCGAAGGGGAAGGGGGAGGTCCAACTTTTAGAAGTCCACTTCCCTCATCCTTAGAAGCGGCTGCCTCTGGCCAGGCAGGCAAGCTTATTTTAAGGCACACCAAGGCACTTGTCTGTGGGAATTCCACTGAAATAAGACCTCCAGAGCCATGGGGGAGGCTCCCTGCACATCTGGTGAGCAAGAACTCCGGGACAACACCAGATTGGAGGGTGTGCTCTTTCACAATGACCTGATTATAAACCAAATACCCAATGGATTTGGTTATCTGGAGACCCACCAGGTCTTGCGTCATCTTGACCTTTGACCTGCTTCTACTTCCTACATCTTACTGCTCAGTTCTTCTTCTGCTGTCCTGATTTTGTCACTTTGAGTAGTTTCCTATAATCAAGTGTTTAGTGAGATGACCAGCTCATTCTCTCAAAAATGTGTTTAAGCCTTTTGTTCTGAGTCTAGAATGTACGTCTAGAATGCTTGCTTCATTTTCCAACCAAAATCACCTGCCAACTTCCCAGGACAAAGATGGCGATGTCGCCATGTCAGACTCCTGTGGGCAACCTAACTTGTCGCATCACCTTGCAGGCAGTTACACCTGCCTCTGATTTTCTTGGCTCTTTTCCGAACTCTCTGAGACACCCTAACTGTGAAGTATTACCAAGGATATGGAAATGCACGTATTTAAGTCTTTGGCAACCCTGCCCGGCCCATAGAATCACACCTATCAAACCCACCTTGGCCTTTTGTCAATGGAAGGTCTAGGATCCTCTAAAGCGATCCTATAAGGCAGCACTGAAACTTTATGTATTCTAATTTCCTCCTAGCTGATTTAATGGGGGAGAGAGTAGCTTCTCCAAGCTCAACAGCAATTTGCATCGGGAGAAATTCAGCTGTCAGGGACGCGGTGGCAATGCTGTCGCGCTGAGCATCTCCGAGTGACACGTGTGAACACACCCGCCAGGAGAAGTTCAGCTCCCCGCGAAAGTGGAAGATGCTTCCAGAACAGAGAGGGAACAAATCTGGAGACAAAGGTGCATACAGAATTCTTTTATTTAACTTAACCCATGTGGTACTTTAGCTACTAGAAAAAAGCAGGAGTAATAGAAACTCAAGTGGCCTTAGCTTCAGCCATTCAAAATAGACAAAGTTTCTTTTTTCATAATGCAAAGAGTCCCGAGTATACCGCAGTAACAGGGATAAATTCTTACAACAGAATATACAAAAACATTGAATTTTTTTTCATCTACTGATTTTTATATAAACAGAGGGTTTTTTTTTTTTTTAGGAATAATTTATACACAGAAAAGTTATTTTATGTAACAAATTGGCCATATTATCTTTTTTAAACTTTTTTTTTCTTTTTTAAGAAAAAGTTTTAACAAGAAAACTCAGAAATGCATTATTGGCGATGCATCTATTCCATCGCACCTTCTGATTTGACCTTTTCTTTTTTCTTTAATCCCAGAGGTAGACAAACTCTGGCCAAACTCTCACCCCGAACTCACTGGCTTGGGAAGCAGACAGGTGATGTCACCAGGCAGGCATCTGGTCCATCTCTGTACATGTCTGCACAATGCCCAACATTCATGAGAAACTGCAAAACCAACCCAACCCAACCCCGAAAATGGTTCCTAGGACTTCTTCCCGAAGTGTCGGAAAGTCCAGATGTCCTCAACAATGGTATCTTCCGGAACTGTAGAGACATGGCCAACAATGCACTGGGAACCGAGGGACATACATTTTAACTCTAAAAAAACGGGGGCGCACGTGTGTGGGGCAACACGTCATGGTTTTTCTTACGACTTTGTCCTGTATGGTAAAAAGTGTACCTTCAGCATTCAGCCTAAAATACAAGTAGGCACAGCTTTCACTGGGATCCGAGGCACAGCTGCCTGCACCTCAGAATTGTTTGTGCGATCACTGTGGAGCCGTTCTGTGTCGAGAAACCCTCCCATCTCTATGGCACTGCAGAGTTAGGACAAACACCAGCCCCGGGAGCCAGATGCCACCGGTGAAGGCCATCCCACGTTGCTGGGTGGGAACACGCTGCTATTTCCACGGCCAGCAAGGTTCTTGGTTCTTTCCATCTGTTTAGGCTGCTACACTCCACAGGGAACAATCAATAAGAGAGCGTTCCCTTTCCTAGCAAAGGGTTCTAAGACCAAGATACTGAAGAACACAGAAGTACTTTTTAAACCACTGTCATTCTTTTTTTGTTTTTGTTTTTTTTTTTTTTTTCTTTTTTACAAAGTAGAGCACAAAGCGTGTGGGAAAGGTGAACCACAGCTTGGGGCTGGGAGAGGGGAGAATTCTTTTTTTTTTTTTTTTTAATTTTTTTTTTAATTTTTAATTTTTTGTTTTTTATTTTATTCTTTATTTTTGGCATATTGTAAAGCTAGCTAGTAAACAAGTGTCAAAAAGGAAAAAAAAAAAAAACAAAGGAAAAAAGGAAAAAGACCACAAACACATATTTGCACATACAGAGAGAAAAAAAAAAGGTGTTTTTAAATTATTTCGGCAATTATAAACTACAAACATTTTATAAAATTATTCTATGTTCTTACAAAAACGCAATGAAACATTTAATTAGTTCTTGTAAACCAGATCTTCGTCAACTGACTACCCGTAATCTACTGGACTTAGAAGCCCTATTGGAAACGATAATGAGTGACTAATTGAAAAAAAAAATGTTTACTGGAAAGATGCAGACACAAATGTGGACACAAAAATCAGTGATTATGAAGTTCTCACAGAAACAAAATAAAATAAATCCCTAACGTCATGCCCCAGGCTGATACTCAACTTGTGAGCGCGATGGAGTCTGAGTTCTTCAACAATGTGACTTAGCTCCGTGAGAAGTCTCCAGAGCAGGATGCTGAGTTTATTATCTGAAACCGGATGCCCACAATGACGTCACGGCCTCGATGTGGGCATGACACCTTCAGAAACCATCAAGTCCAAATGCGGTCCATGCTTCTTACGGTCCCTTTACCCTTCTGTCAGCAATGCTCTTCATGCCATGATCCCAGTTACCATGGTTTCCTACAGGCCGGCATTCCGTCAAGGAATGTTCGTTTCTCTAAATCACCAACTGGTCATCCAAGTTGGAGGCCCCAAGTGAAGATCCCTGGCCTATCCCAGGTCTGTATCTTCAGCATCTCTGGCAAGACAGGTTCAATTTTAAACAGACATCCTGTCTCGAAGCTCTCATTTGTACCACCACCTAGTTCAGAGTGGAGTGAGAAAGTTTGACTGTCATCACTGGTTCTTAAGGAGTGGATCTCAGTGGTCCAGGTCTCCCCGTGCCGCTGCTTAGCCCAGGAAATGAAAAGACATCAGACAAACACAAAAGTAACATTAAAAAAAAAAAAAAACAAAACAACAACAAACCAAAAAACCCAAACCATAAACTCATTACTGTTAAAATGGGCTGAAGCGTACTGATAGGGTGCTAAGGTCACCTGCAGGATGCCAACGCCTTCAACGCTGTGTGGCCTCTCTCAGAGGACCTGACGGTAACAGCACAGGACCTTGGGTAAGCATCCTAGACTTCTCACCCACTTGAGCTCAGTGTGACCCTGCCACAACCACTTGCTTGCCTCAGGTACAGACCCTACTAACAGTGGTGGGCTGCTAAGGAGGCTCCAGGAGCTCATCCATCTGTCAGCCCGCCCAAAAAACATGACTGCATACCAAACACTCTGCTCTTTTCACAGTGATCACTTTTCTATTTTATGAAGCCGCTTTTCCTACCATTGACTTGTCCTGAGTCATAAGAAACAGGCTGGAAGGAGAGGCCACGGATGGCCTTGGGCGGTCTTCTATCTCCCAAGGAGGAAGCCTCATTCCAACTAAGAGTCAAATGTTACGACATTCCTGAAAGGAGATCGGGTAGTGTGGGCCTCATGCAGCTCAGGTTCGCCTGTGTCCCCGTGACTCAGCTCCTGCTGCCTCAAGGAAGGCTGTGTGGGAGAACACCTTAAAGTTCACATCACCTGAATGCTGTGCCTCAGTGGTTCATGTTATCTCAAGCAGTGTGAGCTCCTGTCAGGAAAGGGAGTTGCATGAAAAAAGGCCACAACTCAGCTTGGTAAGATTACTTGGAGCATATAAAGAGGAAAATCAGGAAGAGGTGGGAAAATCAGCATGAAATTAGGTTAGAGCTGTGGATTCATGATGCCTTGCAAAAGTCAAGGTGGTCCAGCAGAGTGACCATCACTACAAGCATACTGTCATTTCACTGAAATGTTTCTGGAGCATTTGTTACGATGGGTGCTACACTATTAGTGTTTTCTCTCTACTTAAAAAAAAAAAATCACCTACGTAAAATAAAAGAACACCAACTCGGACAGTTTTAAGAAGCAAAATCAAAAGAAAAAAGAAAACCAACCAACAAACCAAAAACCCCGTAAAATCAGTTGAATGATCTGTAGAAATCCAGTTGTGGAAACCGGCAGGTATGTGCAAAGGAGAGGAGAGGCCACTATCCCATGGGGTCACCTACAGTGTAGGAGAAAACCCTGATCAAACGGTGTCTCCCAGCAACCCTGTGAGCGTCTAGGAGCTCAGAGAAGGGCAGCGTTCTGGCAGGAGGCAAGGGGCTCCTGAGCTTACCCGCAGTACAGACAGCTCTCCACACTGGGAACAATCACCCACACGTTTCCCAGCGAGAGTCCCCAGGGCCTGTGAGAGCAGCTGCTGGAATTGAGGAGTGCACTGTCCACCCTGTGAGCAGCAGAATGATGGGATGGACAGAGGCAAAGCACAGGGAAGGCAGAGTGCCAACCACTGGCCTTCCAGCCTCAAGATTTGGTCAGTCCTTGTTTAGCCCTGGGGGGCGGGGAGGAGGAGGGAGGGACAGCAGCCTGCAGGGGTGCAGGCTTTGTCCTACCTCCCTTTATTGTACTGGCCTTCTGTCAGAAGCGGAGGGGTGAGGGGAGAGCCCTCTGTCTGCTGACACTGCTATACCTCTAGGAGGAACCAATGCCAAGACAGCAATGGTGGCATAACCCTGCCGCAGCACAGGTCTCAGAGGAGCAGCTGAGGGGACCAACAGGGCATCCTAACGTGCACACACAAACCTCAAAACCTGGGAGTACCTGCTCTCTTACGGATGAAATGCGGTGGCCATGTCAGTCTATAAAGATCTGTTCCGAAGTCTGCCAGCTGAGGATGGCAGGTGACCCTCCTCCACTGGTGAGCTCTGGGCTCGAGGGGGTGCTGGGATGGATGCAGGGACACCTTGGCGGGAACCCGGTGAGGAGAAAGATAACCAAAGCTTGTCCCAGGCAAGGTGAGCTTTTGGAGAACAGTGGGAGGAGGCAGACTGAGTTAGTGTTGCTTTGACCCCAGAAATCCAGCCTGACCCCCCTCTGCATCATCTGGGTATGTGGCCTGTGGTGTGGATGAGGTTACCAGTATCATTGGCCTATTGTCAGGTACTGAGAAGTGTGAGATGTATTGTTTTATATATATATATATATATATATATACACACACACACACACGAAAAACAAGAGTGAGGTAGATAAATGTTTGAAAAAAACACCCTCCCAACCCAAAAACTGTCCCATCTAACACACACACACACAGATGCGCACACTTTTCCTCAGTATTTAAAATTCATAACAGGGGCTTCTCTACAGTGATTAAAACAGGTATCACAAAATAAATTAAAACTCCTACATGAAATACCTTCTTAATAAACCTTTTCCTCCTTCTCTTCTCTTTGTTTGTTAAGGGGAAACAGTGTGAGGAAGAGGCTAGTGAGAGCCGTGAGCCTGAAACTACAGACAAGCCAGAGAACTAAAAGCTTTCTTTTCTGTGTTTAATCTCCAGTCACAACTGCAATCATTATCTTCCAACTTTTTTCTTACTCATCATTTAAATATTTCCATCCCAGAAGCAACTCTCATGCTGTCATCCCTCTGGTAAGAAGTGCTAAAAACTAAACAAAACAGGACCCCCAGGGCCAAAGGTCTGTGGTTCCGGCTAAGGAAACATCAAAGGGCTCCATGGCCACCACGGGGTCAGCTCTGCTCTGCCTGTCACTCAGGCCTCCTGATCTGGGAGTGGGCTCCAGAACACTGAGGCTGCTGTTCCTGGCTATGGGGTGTCAGAACCCTGCACCCTGCTCACACAGAGGCCACCCCTTCAGACATTCTGGTTCTAAGACAGGTAGGTTGGTGTGGTGAAGGTGATGGCAGAAGGCCACAGACGGGCCGCTGGGCCATGCTCTGCTGAACCCTGAGGACTCAGCAGCTGTTTTGTTGTTGTTGTTTTAAAAAAATGGGATAGGATTAAATATCCATTAAAAAAAAATAATAATCCAGATGCTGTCTGCAGTTTAAAACTGCTATTGTTTCCCAAAATTAAATATATATGTGTGTATGGGTGCCACAACCAAAACAAAAAGGGAAAGCCAAGGTGTGACTTACAACAGTGGGGGCTAGAAATCTAGACACTAAACCAGATGTGTGAGATTTTTAACCTTTTTGTTTCTGACCTGAGTTTGTGGCATGTCTTGCACTGTAACAGATGCCAATGCTGTGTGCAGGGAGTTGTGGGAAGGAGAAAGTGGGGCCCAGGAGTACCTGGGTCCAGGCCTCTGGCCCTCCTCACTCCCTTACCAGCAGTGTGCTCACAGAGCCTATGGGTTAGAAGATAATGAATGGGCTTCAGGGAGCAGGGGAAGGGCGCTGTACTTATAAAAAGGCATCAAACAGTTCCTGGCAAATTATGATCCAGAAGCATCGGTTGCTGGAGAGGAGGAAGAAGAGTTACACTCTAGTACAAAGCATAGAAGTTTCTTGGAGTAAGCGAAAAGGAAGAAGGGTAGACCTGAAAGTTTCATAGATTAAATCCACAGAGATAAAGAACAAAAATAATAGCAGCTTTGTTTTCCTGTACAGACGTATAGATGAATATCCGAACCGTAAAAAAGTTATAAAAGTGACACTGAAGACGATGTGTACGCAAATGTTTCACGGTCTAACACAGACATGAGAGACCCACGAGGAAGTCCTAGTAACAGAGACCGTGTCAACGCTTAGACTGCTTGGATCCACTGCCTGGGCTGCTTCCGTGTCTGAACCCCTTCCTTGCTCATCTGCACCAACAGCTGGGCTGAGTCTCTGGAACCCTTTCGCATCTGTGTCCCTCGGGGAAGGGGGAATGGGAGCAGGAGGGGAGCTGGGGCAACGGGAGGGTGGTGGTATGCCGACCACCTTGACCCACAACCTGACCTTCAGGCTTGCTCACGGCCATTTCCTCCAGAATTCTTGGGGTGCTGTGGGTGGGGTAAGGTGAAGAGCTGGTTCAGACTTGCCCTTCTTCAAGGAGGGCAAGTTCCATCTTGTCCAGTTCTCCGAAATAGTAAGCTAGTCATCACAGAAGGAGACCTGGGGGGATGTGGGCTAGGAGCACACGGGGAACACACAGGCATCGCCAACGTGTCTCTTGAGTGATATTATCAACAAGATGCCGTGTTTCATCCCACGCCTCTGGACAAAAGGAAATCAGCGCAGGGAGTGTGCACAAGAAAAAACAAAACAAAACAGGATTTTGGCAAAAATTGGCAGCATGAAAATGATAACCATGGATTAACAATGGCCCTTTTAAAATTTTGGATGACCCTAAAAAGGTTAAAGATACATTAAAAAAAAAAAATTCCATCTCAGTGTGTGCATTTTTTTCCTTTTTTTTTTTTTTTTTTTTGTAAAAACCCAAGGTGTCAGGCCAGTATGTATGGGCTGATGAAGAGCCCCAGGGACAGCCATTAAGTCAATCTGATTTAAAAAAGAAAGAAAGAAAGAAAGAAAGAAAGAAAGAAAGAAAGAAAGAAAGAAAGAAAGAAAGAAAGAAAGAAAGAAAAAAAAGGCTTCCCAGCTGGGCTTTCGGAAATATCTTTCAATTGTGAAGCAGAAGAAAAGAAAAAGGAGAGAGTGGAAGTGGAAAAGGAGAGGAGAGAGAGGGAAGGCAGAAGAGAGAGAAAGGCAGAGAGTGAGGAAACTCAATTCTTGAGTGTCCTGTTGCTATTAAGTGTTGTCATTAAGGTCTGCAGAGGCCCATGTCAGTTAAGGGTTTGGGTAGGGAAATAAAAAGCTGCTTGCATATTGAGAACAGGAAGGGCCCAAGTGTGTTTACTGCAGAGAAGCCGTCTCCCGCGGGCAGCAATGGCAGTTCTGAAGATCCACTGAGGTACAGGAGGCTTGTGAATAGATTGTTACAACCTGCGCTCCCCCCGCCCACTCGTGGGCGCACACGTTACTGTTTGCACACGCTTCAGCAGCGTCTGAGGATCAGCAGGTCGAAGACTGGGGCAGAGGCAAGGCCCTCTCGTTGGCACGCCCCCCATTCATGTGAGCATAAGGCTGTCTTTCATCGAAACTGGCTCGGAGAACCAGGACTCCGGGGCCCGGGCCGTTCTCGGCCTTGTGTCCTGAGTGTCTTTCAGGCAGAGGCAGGGAGGATGAGGAGGCCGAAGGGTCCAGCGGCACGCTCTCCATGTTCTCCGGCTCCAGCTCTAGCTCCAGCTCCTCCGGCTCGGGAGGCTTGTTCTCCTCGCTGTAGTAGAAGGAGACCTCCTGAAAGCTGGGCTCCATCTCATCCTTGATGCTGCCGATGATCTCCAGGAACGAGGGCCGCATCTTGGGGTTGTACTGCCAGCACATGCGCATAAGTTCAAACCTACGGGGGAGAATGAAAGGGGCTGAACTGCAAAGAGGCCTCTTGCTGAGGTCAGAGAAGCCCAAGATATGGCATCCTGCCATGCATCTTGCCCAGAACCCAGGCCTAGCACAGTGCCAAGCCCAAACTCACTTAAGTCTTGGTTCACAGAGTCCACTATGACAAAGTCATATCAATGATAGCGATGCTAAGAGATTAAGCATCTAATTTCTGTCTGAAGCACCTCTTCCAAGTCATGCATGATGCATGGTTCCTGAATCAGAAGCAGGAAACCTCTATTTTCCACTAATGACAATCATAGCTTTCCCAATGGCCACTGTTCTCTGTACCCTACTGAGGGTGTTTCTAAGCTCCTTTCGGGCACTAGGATGCCCCTGGCAGTGGACCTGAGGAAGGAGGCGGCAGGGGTGCCAGGCAGAAGGAGAACACCTCCCAAGCTTGCTATCTCACACCGGCACCTTCTTCACTGCATGTCCCACGAAGGCTGAGCCCTGCACCCAAGACTGGAAGCAATGCCTAATAGAAACCTCAAGTCAGACAACCAACAAGCCCGTGGGAAGCCCTGGGCCTAAGTTTCTTCTACAAGCAAGGGGAAGGTAGGAACAGGGTAGAAAGCCCATGCTGCACCTCCGTCACTCCCACAAGTCAGAAACCTGAAAAGGCTCCCAAGTCACCTGGGTTGGCAGCCACACACGATGGAAGAGAAGAGGAAGGCTGCTCCTACAGCTACCACCCTGGCCAGTGAAGGAAGCCCTGAGCAGGTGAAGGCCTGAGTGAGTGTGTGTTGCTGACATGTGCAGAGCCATGTCAAGGACCCCAATGCTCCAGTTCCACGGGGGTGGCAAAGTCTTCCCCAGTGATGCTCAGAGATTATAGAGCCTTCCTGAGATCTGAGTGCAAACGTTGACAGTGTGTGCAGAACATTTTAACTCTCACTTTCTCCAGCCTGAAGACTGCTTCCTTGCAGAGACTAGTACTGATACCTGCCTCCCTGTTCAACTATATACAACAAACACACTGAGTGTCCAGAGTCCATGCTACCCAAACCCAGCTTTTCTATATCCGTGTGCTTGTTCTTTCTTCATTCCCTTGTTGCCCTAGTCAAGTCAGGGTTCTGGTACTCAAGCTGTGCAGAGTACTGCACCCAGGCTCTGACATACTGACAGGACAGCAGAAAGCAAGTACAGGGTGGTCATGATGCCAAGAAGAGGCCACCCAGCATCCCTCAGTCACAGGAGCATGAGACCAAAGCACCTTCCACCTCTGCTCCTCCAGGGAATTCTGTTCTGCTGTTTTTAAATTCCTGGCTTGGCAAATGTTTTACCTACGATCCACCAAATGCAACTTTCCAATATTCACTGTCTATCCTTCTGGAGGGAGTAGTGAAAGAAACCTCATAAAGTGGCCAATGCCTTCGACAGAGGAAAACAACTGGACAAAGACAAGGCCAACTAGTTGTTTTCAGTGGTGCCAAGAGAAGCTGGTGGTACATGCCAGGTTGCAGGCACGCAGTAAGAGCTCTGGGCACAGAGGCCATGTTAGTCCTTGGGAGCCAGAGACGTCTCTTGAATAGAACAGTTATAACACACCCTCATTTCATACATAAGGAAAAAAGTATCAACCAAAACATTTAGTAATTTGTCTAAAGTCACACAGCTAGCGAGTAGGAGCATGAGTGAGGCTCTCTATCAAACAATATAGCTATACTTTAGTTATCTGCATAAGAGTAACCACGGTCCCAGGAGGACACAGCTCTCTCTCTCTCGGCTGTCCATAGACAGAGCTCATGAGAGGGTTTGGTCTGCATCGACAGCAGCCAGGTAATATACCCTCCTATTCTGGTTAGGTGGCAAAGCGGCCTGTTTTCCCGTGTCCCCGTCGTTTTTCCCCAAATTAATCAGAATGGGGTGTAAACGTTAAGGAACTCATTGCTGTGGCTGGGCGGCAATTTCCTCTCTGGCTGACAGGCCTGAATAGAAGAGTGCAACTAGGGGCAAGAACATGAGATGTGTCTGGCTCCATGCCCTGTGGCCAGGGGTGGGGGTAGGGGTGGGGTGGGGGCCGAGGAGATGCCACCAGCAGGGCAGTGATGTGGTGACATCAGCACAAACAAGCCATGTGATGCCTCTTTTAAATCATTCCAGAGTCAGCCCTTCCAGTGCTGCCCATAAAAGGAAGTCTTTTTTGCTCTGTGCGATTTAAGACCTTGTTTTTCTACTCTTTCCACAAAGAAAACTCTCCAGTAGACTCTGGGATTAATAAGCTGATAAAACGCTTCTTTTAAAGAGCACATTTTTAAAGCCACCACACTGCTCTGGTGGGCTGGAGCTGTGTTTTGCAGTGTATGTCCCTATTTGAGGGTATACACCCAGCTCTTCCCTGGGAGTGAGCTCTAACCTAGGGGTATACGCATACTGCTATTTCCATCCCCCTCCTGAGCCCCCAGGCACACTCCATGTTGTGAGCTGGACAGGCTGTCATCTATAGGAGGCACTGGCGAGCTGAGAAGTGCTCTACAGCTCACGTCTACAGTATCCCCGCTGTTAGTACTGTACCAGCCAGTGGTGACTCCTACCACTGATCAGACTTCCATAAGGTCCTACAGAGCTTACTGGGTCCCCTTCTAGAATCCCCAAGCAGCTAAGGCTGTTTTAGGGGCTACTTTTCAGCTGGGACCTGGAAAGAGGCGGCTATACAGTCCAGCTCATGCCAGGGATCACCACACAGACACTGTCATCTGCCTCTTTGGATCCTAGTCAAGCCATAGGATCATTATCTCTACAGAACCGGCCTGAGAGTCCCAGCATCCTGGAGGCTTGACTCTGAGAAAGGGAAAATGCAAAAGCAGTCAGATTCGCCTGAATGTGTCTCAGTGACATCTGAGTTGGTGTGGCTGGGATTATAAAGCCTTCAAGTCCCTTCCTGAATCCTGCGTCCTAAAGACTTGGCATGAGAGCTGTGGAGGTGTTATTGGAACAAATGGTTCTGCACCTGAGTTTCTGTGGTGAGTTCAAGTCATCATCCCATTCTTAGGGCTGGGACCTGTTTCAGGGTCTCCAGCTTCCATGAACTCTGGGACTGGCCTTTGACCTCACGGCCAAATTTGTGTCCAAGGCACTGATGGTAATGATGGGTTTTCCTGATCCAGCCTCACAGCATTTGCTAGCTTAATTCAAACTGAGTCACGGCACCTACACCCAGACCTGGATACTCTGGGGTTTGATGACAGTCTTCCCTCTAAAGCTAAAACACTTTGTGATACCCAAGGCTGGACAGTTGGCTACTCTTGAAGCAACCTGGGTCATGTGCAGGTACAATGAAGCTACAGCATGGCCGGGGAGGGCTGCTCCTGTCTCAGAACCACATAATGGAAGCCCTTCCTCTACATGTGAGACCCAACAGGTTTCAGACTACTCCCAAGGGTGTTCTTTCACTGCAACAAAAGAATCCTTTCCCAGAACACATCTTCCTCTCATCAGCATCTCAGAATCGGGACACCACACTCCCTCCTGGAGCCAGCTTGTCTCCCTTCACTATGTTCTTTTCTTAGAAAGGAGACAAATGTGCCAAGGGGGTTCTGAATGGCAAAGCAGAAATGCCTCCTGAATCAATCATTTCACATCCAAGAGCAGCCTCTGTGTGTAAACTTCCTCCTCACTCTACGCTGGGAACAGGAAGTCCACTGCCTTTCCCATGGCAGGTGGCTGCTTCCCAAGCATATTAAATTCATACCAAAAAATCCAGTCAGCTGGAAATGGATCAACTTCAGGAGGTCCCATGAGTTTCTGAGACAAATGCCTGCCCCACCATGAAAGAAAGAACAAAAACAATACCTCTCCTGTGACTAGCCCTAAACCACAGGAACAAAACTCACACCTGTTCTTCTGAACTGTCTTTCAGCTTGTGAAACACACCACTGATTCTAGTATCCAAATATATGCTGCTGTGGTTCATCCTTATGCAGATTTAGAGGCAGCCATTTCATACTCCAACCCTTAAACTTTGCCCTATGTACAGATTCAAAGGCTCCACAATTGCTGTTTTCTGCATCTGCTTTACACCACTGTGGCAGAGCTGAGGGGTGGAAATGGCGAGGGGGTGTATGGTCTACAGCACCACAAATACTCTCCAGCCTGTTGGAGAAATCCCCTCAGTCTATGGAGAGGTGGTCAGACAAGCCATGGCCTCACATGCTGTATAGGCACATCACTGTTCCTACCGCCTTGAGGTAAATCTGACCTCCCAACCCCCACCCCATGCACAGGAGTCTTCATTTGCCTGAAGCCTTGCCTCAGAGCTCACCAGAAATCTCCCAAAGATCTCAAGCCAGTATGTCACCTCACCACGACGCTCCTAGGTTCCTTCAGAAACTGATGGAGTCCACATGGGACTAGCTAGCCCACACCTGGACTTCAACCTCACAAGATCTTACCCCTGGTCACTGGCACCTCTGGCGGGTTCTGCCCACTGCCCACACACACAGCCTCCATCTGTGCATCACCTCACCATTTGAGGCGCCAAGCCAGTGAGTGCTGCGTTGACAGAGTAGGCAGGAGAGCAGGCAGATCTGAGCATCTTTTTGCATAGATGTACAGGAATCTTGACAATCCCCTGCGATTCTTTCACAAGTGAGGCTGAACGTGTTTTGAAAAGTTTCTAGAAAACTCCTATATTGGTCTGGATGTATCAATGGGAACCTACTTTGATGTTTACCCCTGAGATGCAGAAAGCCAGCTGAGCACCGCCTTAAGGTGTTCATATCAAAAAACTAGTCCACTGCTCTCTGTGCCTGATGAGCCAATCAGAATACCTTCTTATCTCCTTTGGAGCCTCATTCCAGGAAGGGCCATTCTCCCCACCCACTGAGCCACCAGCGTCGGACAACAAAGCAAGGCCTCCACTCAAAAGGGTACAAACAAAATTTGGATGCTTGATGCCCTACCAAGTAAAAGTTTTGCCCCAGCTTGGCAACACTGGGGAACCTTTGAAAGGTGGAGCCTAGGAGGTTGCCTTCAAGAACATTATATCAGGACTGCACCTCTTTAATGCGAGGGTCTTTCAACCTTCCTAACGCCCCAACCCTTTACTATAGTTCCTCATGTTGTGGTGACCCCCGCAACCATAAAATAATTTTTGTTGCTACTTCATGACTGTAATGTTGCCGCTGCTATGAACTGTGATGTAGATATCTGTGTTTTCCCACGGTCTTAGGTGACCACAGTGAAAGGGTAAGGGGTCGAGGCCCACAGGTTGAGTGAGAGCTGCTGCTTTAAGGGCTCTTTTTCACTTTCTAGCTACAGTGAGAACGATCTGCTCCGACACACTCTTTCCATGGTAGCAGCTGCCTCACCACAAAAGCAATGGAACACACTTAAGTCCCCAAACTGGAAGCCGACACAAGCTGAGCATCTTGGGGAGTTTCTTGAAGTCACACTGGCCAAGCACTGAGGTATACTTGGCACCATGGGTATACTTCCACCACATCGTGACTTTCAACGAAGTGTTGCAGCTTGTAATTTTACTAGAGGTGGAGCAAGGCGACCTTTCCACCTGCACCCTAAGAGGGTATGCCTAGGAGTGTGTCTGAAGAGGGGTGAGCTCAACCTGGCTTCCTGGCCACACGACTCACAGGCATAAAGCTGACAACAGACGGTTTGCGACCCTGTGTTGGGGCTACGTGAGGTTTACTGTATTAGTGCAAGAGAGCGACTCTCCACCGCAAAGCTCTGTGTGAGCCTGCTGCACAGACCTGTCAGGCCTGCCAGTGGCTTGGGAGAGCTCTTAAATATGGCCCAACACTAGTAACTGTTGCAGTATTGCCTTAAAAAAAAAATAATTAAATTTCGCACAGAAAAGATGAGTCAGGATTGCTATTGACCCGTATGTCACAGAGAAAGGGAGGTGGCGGCATGCTGAAACACCATGGCGTAAAGTGCCAGTCAGCACTGGGGGACTAAGGAACACAGGATGGGGGAGAGGTGCTGCACAAAGTCACAGATCCAACAAGCTCATCTCCACCAGTCTGGATGGAGAAGCCTCTCCTAATCCTCTCCCGTACCCGCAGGCAACAGAAGGAATGGCTCCGGAGGAGGTACTGATCCCGAGTGGCTCAGGGAATACGTACAGCATGTCGGGGCAGTTGTCCGGCTTGTCCAGAAGACCGCCCTCCATGACAAAACGTAGAACTTGCTCATTGGACAAGCCCTGGTAGGGCTGCTCAGCCAGCGTGGCAATCTCCCAGAGGACGACCCCAAAGGACCTGTGGGAGGAACGGAACGTGAGTAGCTCAGAAAAGGATGGGAAGGAGCCTGTGCCACTCCTGAGTACTGAAAAAAAAATGTCCTCAAGGTGGTGACAGCACTTTGTGGTTGTCAAGCCAGCTATCTGGCTAAGTGCGGGACATCTGTCCTCCCATGTCACTGCTAATGCTCCCTGTAGAGCCACCAAGGTGCAGGGCGCAGGACTGAGGCAGCTGAGGTTAGGGGCTTCTAGCAGTCCTCACAGTTTCGAGAGCCTGATCCACAGCACACACATTCAGGACCCTCTCCCAGCCAAACTGGCTTTAGCTCAGCACAGAATGCAGAAGACCAGGTCCCTGCCTGGCTGCTGACTTGGGACAGGCTAAGTGTCTTGACTATCTCCTTCGGGGACTCTTTTCATACCAGTTTGGGAATTTCTAAGCTAATGGTTCCCTCCACAGTGCTACAAAGGAGAATCTGCTCGGAGGTTTTAAAACAGGATTCCCCAGAGCAGTTCTGATCTGACAGGTATGGAATCAGGAGCTGGGTCTTGGGATATCCACAAGGTCTGTGGGATCATGACTTGGGCTAAGGAAGATAAAAATCCCTGTCCCATACAGAACTCAGGAACCACTGGCTAGAAAGGCGCTGTGTCAGGTGGGGAAGTGGGGTGGGATGCACTGGCCCACGGCATGTGTTACAGTAACAGAGTTCTTTGGTCTGAAGGCTGGCCGAGGTATGAACTCAGCAGGCAGAGCGGTGAGGAACCCTACCATGCGTGCAGTTTTGCCTGTCAGCCAGAAGATCAGACTACAGCAGATCCACGTAGGCAGCAACTTCAGACAGGTAATGGCTACACTGTCACTTGTAGTGTGAACACAGCTTCTCAGGGAGAATCCCTGCTTTTGCCAAGTTCTCCCTGGCCTCTTTGCTCTCACACTCAGGTCCTATGAATGGAATAAATTAGGCTGTCCATTGTAAGCCAACACGAGGCTTTGGATGGAACACTAGTGGGGCTGAGCCCCACAAAAGAGCCTGAGGCAGACATTTTCCACTTAGCACTCGGAGGAGCCTGGCCTGAGCTTGAAGCAGGCAGCTTCTGAGTGAATCATAATGTTTGGTTCGCTGCTTCAGCTCCCTTCTATGAACAAAAGGGTTTTGTACAAATTGATACTAAGCAATGTTAGACAGAAATAGAACCTCGGCAATCAGACCCAAGGTCCCTTTGAACTGGCAATGACTAAGATAGAGTCTTCAAATTGTACGAAACAACCCCCCCCCCCCCCCCAAAAAAAAAAAAAAAAAAAAAAAAAAAAAAAAAAAAAGAAAAAGAGCCATGCTCTGCAGTGAAATCATGGTTCTAAAAGATCTGGGCTCAGAGAAATACATTTCCTGTCAGCTTCAGTCATGGAGTCTTCCCTCCAGAGCTTGCGTGGCCACATCAGAGGCTCTCTTTGGAGGTTGCAGTGCCCACCCTCGTGTCTGAAATATGGCCCGAGACAAGCAATGATGTATGTGGTTTTTCTATTTTCGTCAACTGGTCTTGATGAAGTTCCCTTCCAGGCCAACTCCCCTTGTCTCTCATGCTTTCCCTGGTGCACCACAGGCCTCCAGGCATTCAGTAATAATTCTGGCCCCAAGCTCTGACTGTCCTATCCGGAGATCAGACTGGTTACCGACTCTTTACAAACTCAGCATGCAGCCTCCAGCTTAACTCTCTCAGGCGCCCTGTTCTCCTCCTGAACTCCCTGCCGCCAATATCTTGTCCCACACCAGCAGTCTGCTCATATGGAGGCTAGGAAGACAGAACACATAACCAGAAAGAACCAAGATCTCTAGAGACGAGGGCCTGCCTGCCCTTGTGAGGGAGGGGACAGTCCTTGGAACATCTCCACAGAAGATGGGATTCAGGGCTTTGCCTGACCTGAGGGTGCCTCCCAATGCCATGCTCCTAACGTCTCCCAGAAAGTCAAGGAAAATACTTTGGATTTCTTTTTGGATTTATACTACTTAGGAGCAACTGTCTTATGACTGTGAATTCATTCTAAAATGACTGCCATTCTTCCAAGAAGCACAGCTTCAGTTGGAGTTAAGAAACAGTTTATATATTCCAGTGTCCTTGCTGTCCCCAGCTGTATGCTTAAAAGTTGGGTTGAGAAAAAAAAATGCCCAAAGCATTATCGATGCCTTAGCATTTGGCAGAATGAATTCTGAATGCCTTTCCTCTTTATACAGACATTTTTTTTTTTGGTTGGTTTATAACATCTATGTAGTCAAAGTGGAGGAAATTGGCAGGGAGCACCTTGTGAGCCCCTTGCCGTGGCTGGTAGTAACAGCTGCTACTCAGGATTGGGGTAGAATGAGGCTGTGTGAGGCTCCAGTTTTATTTCCCCACGCTGACTCTGTATTCCTATCCTGCAAGCTGACCTCAAAGCTTCCATAAGCGTGAAGCTCCGAATACACAGATGGAAGCGTGGCCCTAGGTGTGCCTTCTCCTGTGACCTCATCTTAACAGACCTGACAGAAAAGAGGTAACCTTGGATGGGCTAACTGCAGAACAGACCTCATCCTTGTCAGGGAACAACCAGGCTGCGCTGGGTCATAGTCAAATGCTATTTCCAATTTGCACCTGTCTTCCAAATAAGATCCAAGGCTTCTGACCAGGAAAGGCTCACGAGGCTAAAAAAATGATGTCAGTCACTACGGGGATGGTTTCTCTGTGTGGTCATCTGCAGTTGGAGTAAACAACTACCGTTTCTGTAACACAACAGCAACAGGATCTCCCAAGAGGAAAGCCAAGACACTTGCTGACATTCGAGGAGGAGGGGGACGTGCCAGGGCTCTCCTGCCAAGAACTCCAGTTGTATTTTGGAACCCGATGACCTCTGCACGTTGTTTCCAAGGAACTGCAGTAAACAGTACTACAGAGAAGCCGTTGCACCCCTTGGTCAGTGTGCTTCCACCACAAGACACTTCTATTACTAAGGAAGATGCTTTGGGTCAGCAACAGTGGAGGTTCATGGGGTGTGTGTGTGTGTGTGTATGACATCAGACAGGACCAACAGAAAACCACAACCATGACTCTTTGAGTTTTGGGCTTCAATAAAGCACTGCCTTCAAGCTGAAGGTACCATAAGGTGAGGTAAGGTCATATACATAGTACTAATGATATTGAGAGTAAGGAAAAGAGGGAGGATACAGGCAGAGGAGAAACAGAAGTGTGAGTGAAGGCTCAGACTTCTGGCATTTCTCCACTCCTTAGAAACATAATTAATATTAGCTAAAAAGGGAAGAAAATGATGGTTTACATACTCTTTGGAGTCTTGCAAATGGGGCCCTAAATGCTAAACTCAGGTGACAACGAACAGAGACCAGGAGGAGAACAGCCCAAGGGCCTGAACCAGTATCTGGAAGGTACTTGCTGGCCATGCAGGGAAACTCTCATACCAGACATCAGAATGGGTAGTGAAGACTCCATCCTTGAGAGACTCGGGAGACATCCAGCGCACAGGCAGCAAGCCCTTCCCTCCTTTCCGGTAGTAGTCTGTCTCGTAGATGTCTCGTGTCATACCGAAATCTGGAGGGTGCAGAAAAAAATGTACAGTTACTTAGCTGGATCAAGTCTTGGGGCAGCAGCAAAGGTGCTGTGGCTGCCCCAGCATGGGGACCTTGTCCTTCCCCCACATTAAAGGTGAGACATGCTCCTGCTCCACTCTGAGAAGACTTAGTAAGACTCTGGAGCTTGTAACTTTATAGGGTAGAAGTATTAAGTAAGACACGATCAATCACTTCACAGGCAAATACAAGGCATCTGTGGTCCTAATAATTCATAATCTGGCTCCCTTAAGAAGCTAATTCCCTTACTACATTTAAAGTGAGAGGCAGTTTACAAATTACTGAGTACCAACGATTTACCAAGGAAATATACACTACGCAGATCAAGGATGAATGACACAGTTTTAAAGGCTGATCAAATACAGAGGAGGAAGTGGACCTCATTTACTTGGTAGCATGGCTCTACTGCCAAGGAAAAGGCCTTTTACCACCTAATAGGGGAGAAAACATATTTGGGGTAACAATTCATGAACAGAAAGCAGTTAAGATGCTCTTTACCAGGCTCCTGGAGCTATTACCTAACACCCTTTCCCAACACAATACTCCCACTCATTTTTGAAAATTTCTCCCATTTTCTGAGTCTCCTGAAGGTGTCACATAATTATGGTTGATGGTTGGCTTTCTTTATAATCTCACATTATTGTGTCTTCATCAAATTTTGATTTCCCACTCAATCACAGCACCCTTTTCTCACATAAACTCTTCCATTTTCCTTCCCAGGAGAAAAGAGCTGCTCTACCTTAAAAATGGCCCCCTCTCTAAGTGGTGCCACAAAGAGGTGAGGCCACAAAGGCAAAACAAATTCCATAGAGAATGAGGCTGCTTGCAATGTCAGCCCTGGACGTTAACCAGCACAACTTACACCATGTGCGAGCTACTGGCTGCCCCCGGTGAACTGACTCAGGGTATGTAACCCTAAGATGGGGCACTGGAGGACACCGAGGAACCCACCCGAAGAGGAAAAAGGAAGTGCTCAAAAATCATCTCTGAGCTAATCCAGTGGCATGCAAATGAGGGGATCTGCTTTGACTTGCATAGAAGGGGGATTCTAGAAAACAATCTCTCTTCCTAAATGCAAAAGAAAAATAGCACACCCCCCCTTCCATAAACAGGCACGAAAATTTAATTCTGCAAAGAAAAATCATAATTATAATAGAAAATATCCTCATAAATACGCCACATGGTTAAACAGAAAATATAATCCTTACTGATTTGGATTTAAAATGGCAAGAAGCACAAAAAAGCATGTTTCCAACTGTAATGCAAAGCGGGACAAAAGCAGCCTTACCGAGTTTCTGCCTGTGCTGGGAAGAGTGCACGAGAGGGCAAGATGAGGACACGGGCACAGGCTTGCCGGGTAAGCACCTCCATCCCTGTCCTATCAGCACTCACATTTCAGTGGTGGGGAAACATGCCACCAGGATGGATGGCACTGCCCCAGGCCACTCAGGTACATGGTGGTTTTCTCTGATGAGCAGAATCTGGTCCCCACGCCTATGTGAGGGACAGGAGGCAGGAAGGATCCCAAAGGCTGGTAAAAGGAACAGCTCGTATCTAGAAACTCTGGGACAAGATGTCCTCTTGAGGGCTGCCCATCACGCCGGGCTCCCAGGGCTCCAAATGCGAGTGTGCTGGGGGACTCTTTGGTAACTCCAGTGACTGACATCTGCTTTGTAACACAGCCGCGTGCCAACACACCTAACTTCCGCCATCAAGTCAAAATGACACAGCAGCCCTACCTCTCTCACTGCTTACCAAGAGGCCAAAACGGCTCGTTCAAAAATCACTGCTAGGGTTTAGGCAAGCAAAACATCTCCAGAACACATGTTCAGGAGGTGGCCAAAGGTTAGTTAGTGGCGGACAGTGTTTTGCTGCATTTGCTGCTCTTTTCTTCTTGGCATGGTTCCGAACTGCTGTCCTATCACAGTAGGGAGGAGAGAAGGCCTGGTAAATTCAGGTTGGTTTCCTGAGCAACCTTGTCAAAGTAGAAGACAGATAAAAGACAAAGCCAATATAAGACTGAGAGGCTGGGGAGGGTTTCTAGCCAATGACCAGAAACGTAGTCCAGCACAATGTGTTGGTAGCGATAAGGGTCTAAGATGTAGGCGGAGCAGCTGGGGTCCGGAGTTTGGAGCCACAAGTGGTGGAGTGGTTAACTAGCATACCAAAGGCCTTGGTTTCAAAACCTAGTAGCAGGAGAGGAGGAAGAACTCTGAGCCAACCAAACCTAGGTGTGAAATCCAGTAAGCAGTGATCTACCTGCAGAGGGACACACCCACCTCATCACCACCATTGCGATGTGCAGGGGCTTCCCTACAGGGGCACTTGGCCTCCCAGGAACCTCGTGGGTCTATCTAGGGACAATGTTTTTTGTAACCTAAGACACCTGAATGGGGGACTGGATGATGACTTTCATCCTTAAGCCAAGATCACTTGAGGAAGCAAGCTGTCCTGATTATTTCTGTAACCAACATTCTACCAAGAAACCATAGCCCCTGCCATGTTAAGGTGCTCTCAGGATCACAGCCAGGAACAGACAACCATACTGACTGCATACATCTTTGCACTCAAAGACAAGCCACTGTGCCCCTGGGGCATACTGAAAACCTCTCCAGGGGCAGACTAATAACCGCAAAGTCCCTAACGCATCCATAACTTTAGTTTCTGCTCCAGTCTGGAAAGCAAAGGACACACCTCCAATTTTGACTGTGAAATCTTCAGCTACCATGCAGTTCCGGGCAGCAAGGTCTCTGTGGACAAACTTGTTGGCATTGAGGTAGGCCATGCCATCTGCAATTTCTCCAGCCATCTGGATCATCTTGCTTAAACTCGGAGGAATTAGGACTAGATTATTCTGCTGCAGATTAAAAACAAAACAAAACAAAAATATGAGCATCTGAGACTTTTCCTCCCCTACCTGCAGGTTTAATCTAGGAGTTGCAAATCCATGTTTATTCAATCTGAACACCACAAGTTGCACGCAGGAAGTCAGGACCTGCTCAGAAGGAACATAGCATTGCTGTGCGCTGGCATCATGTACTTGTGCCCTTGCTCTTCCATCTATTCATTGATGGATCTCCCATCCATTGATTTGGGTCTCCCAATCAAAACCAAAGATGGTCAACACGGCTTTCTCTGGGCATCTCATCTAATCCTTCCAAGGCTGGAATTATAGGTGCTCTATCACACCCACCTAGCATTTACATGGTTTCTGAGGACCAGAACTCTGATCATTATGCTTGTGGGGCAAAACTTTAACCAGTGAGCCATCTCTCCTGTCCAGTATTTTCTATTTGGAGCAGGACAAAACTATTTAAAGTGAAGCAGCAAGTTTAGGTATTAAGGATGCTCAGTTACTTAGGTTCTGAGTAGTTTACATGTTCCTTTGACTTCCGTAATCATAAAGTATAAGAACAGCACACTTACACAAAGGCCACACAGAACAAACACGCTTCCTAAATGGATAACCACATGCTTGGCTTCCCATGTAAGCTTCCAGGCCTTATTTATCTTCATCCCCTTTTTCTAAGGTACAAAGATATGAAGACTAATGCTTTCATCTTGGATTACTGTTTTCTATGGGCACTGAGGACAACTGAAGTTCAGAGGGAGTTCACCTTGAAGAGACTAAGGTCAATGACCAGCAACATGGACAAATATCCTGTTTGCTGAGGAGGGCAAGACACTGCCTTTGGCATTGAAAAGAATTAACCTAAGAAGTGATAAATTCATTTTGACAAAGTAAGATAAAATATATGCTCAAGGAACCAATAAGAATGGCTTAGCAGATAAAGGCTCCTGCTGCCAAGACTGAGGGACATCTATGTTCAATTCCTAAGACAGGTACGGTGAAAGAAGAAAACCAGCTCCCTCAAGGTGTATGTCAGTATACACATGCACACACACTATACACACACAAATGTAAAAAATTCCCAAGGCTCCCTGTCATCCCAATCCCATGTGCAAAACCAATCATGAGCCCACAGTTTGGACACTAACAAGCTTGTGTGTTGGTACCAGTACAGTAAGTCGTGTTTTGGTTTCCCTAACTGCCAAGCATCTCATGCAACAGTACGAGGCCTTCTCACTTTCCTGGTCCCACACATCACCTTCCTAACTGATTTTGAGGGTCACAGGAGGAGCATTGCAAGGCTTTGAGATCATACTATCTGGGCTATTCTACATTATTCTACACAGGTCCAAGCACTCTGACTATGATGAACATGCAAGAGAATTTTAGCTTTTGCCCGGGCTGCCAAGTTCTCACCAGATGCCAGGATGTAGGTAACAGGTAACAGACCCCACTATGTCTGGGAGTGCTCTCCACACTTTGTGACAGACTTAATTGAGCACATTTATTTATTAATCATTTTTACTTTGATTCTTGTTCTCCTACCTATAATCCAGGGGAAGTGATATCACCGGGAGGAAACCTGATCATCCGTTTCTGGTGCTTCCCCTTTTCACACTGTCTCTTAGTATCTTTAGGGTTTTAAATATGCACGGCCAAGTAGGAGCTGTGCAGGTGGCAAGTATTCAGGCTCATGCCACATACTAGAGTATGAATGGTGTGTAAGTGTTCAACCGGAAGCTGTTACCCATCACGTGAGAAGCAATCAACAAAAGGGACTTAATTATATGCAGAAAAGGGCCGACACTTTGTCAGTTCATGATACTACGTTGTCCTTCTTTTCTTCATCTCAACAGAGTAGAAATCTTTAGTCGTGTTAGAGTCCCTTAGGACAAGCACACATCCATGCATTTACCAAAGTAAATAAGCAAACTACAATGAGGGAGAGGCAGAATACACTGAAGCTGGGGTCTCTATACTAAGCTAGGGTCTGTATACTGAAGCTAGTATATATATATATGTAAATATGTTTTTTATTCTGAAGGGAGTTTTAGAAAGACAAAATTTAGATCTGATGAATTTAAAGGTAAGCTTTACTTCTGAAAGGGGCTTTGGTAATTCAACCTATTTAAATTTTTTTAATTAAAGTTTTATTTTATGTATATAGGTGTTCTGCCTGCATGTATGTCTGTGCACTACTTGCACAACTGGTGCCCACGGAGGCCAGAAGAGCTGTAGATATGGACAGCGGTAGGCTGCCACGAGTGTCCTGGGAATCCAACCAGGGTTCTCTGTAAGAGCAGCCCATGCTCATATCTGCTGAGCCATTTCGACAGCCCTTTATCTATTAGGTCTCTTACAGTTGCCTGAGGACTGGAGGTCACCAATGGCAGAAACAGCCCTGAGACCACAAGCTATGGGCTTTATTCTGTGCATGAATTAGGAATGAGAGCAGTTAAACACTGATCTCTGCTGTAAAGTACCCACTGTCCCGTCACCCATCTGAGCAAGCTCTCCTCCTGTAGACTGGGTATTAGTGGGACAGGAAAAGGCTCTACCATGAACCTGGGACTGATGCTGGGAGAAACAGGCAGCTTTGCGGCTCTGCCACCAACTCATACTTAGCCTTGTGGTTCTCCTCAAACCCCAAAAGCACATGCTAAAAATAAACAAGGACATTTGTGAACAGGTACTCAGAACTAAAATGAAGGAACCGCCACTTGGGAGATGATTAAGTTGTAGAGGAAAAGAAAACAAAAGCTTACACAAAGAACGGGAAGAAAAACAGAAAGAGGATGAGAAGAGGGAGGTTTTCCCTTATAGAATGCAGACAGACAAGCTGTTTACTCACAGGTAACAAAATCAGGGTCAAAATGAGGACATCAGAAACACTGAGGCAGCCCCATAAAAGGCAGCTGGTCCTGGTGATATTTCTCAACATGTCTATCAGTTTACATATGCAAAAAAAGCTGGCGGTGGGCTAACACAACAGAGGGGCGCGGGGGGACTCCACAGTGACTAATAAAAAACTACATAGGATCTTCTCAGGTCTACAGTGTGAAAATGTCACTAGAGTACGCAGAATCAATCAGCTAAGATGACTATCATTTAAAAGTTCAAGCAGGGGTCTGGCCTATTATCCAGCCTGAAAACAAGCAGTTTGTGAAGTCTCAAAAGCAGTGTTAGGGCAAGTGAAGAGCAACCTGTGCTATCAGGGTGAGGGAAGTGTGCTCACATGTGCTATGTCTATGTGCGTGAGTGTGTGTGTGTGTAATGGGCTCCTTGGGAGACAACTGTCCTGTGTATAGACTGGTTGGGGATTCACTCTGGCAACATTCCAGGGCCAAGGTCAAGGCCCCTGCCAGCCTAAATGCTGACCTTTACAAAGCATGTACTGAAAGAGATTCCAAGCACAAACATGGCCCTGGAGACCACAATAAGAGATAATGCATGCTAGGCAGCCAGTCAAGTGTACTGGAAGATCAGTAGGGGAGACTGGCCCAGGTCAATGGGAAGGCTGTGGGAAGGGCTGACCATGATATGTCCTAGGGCACGTGGGGGTTGTTGTAAGATGCAGGCATGGAAAGAGGGAAGGCAGAAACAAGAACACAGAGATGCTTGAGGTAGACTGGGCGGGATCCAAAGACAGAGAAGATCTCCCCAAGACTCCAGTCTGCCTACAATTTGACAACTCTTTAACAAAGCATGCAGCAAGAAACTCAAGGCTGAAAAGCAATGTGATTTAAGGACATATTCCCTACAAGGGAGCTCTTGAAGGAAGTGGAACAGGAAAGATAACATGGTGAGAATCAAAACTGACCTCCACTTCTGGCCTTAGAGACCGGAGATAACTTTTGAGATCGCCACGTGTCATTAGTTCCATGATGACCAGGGTAGGCTGGCCTTGGGACACCACGCCCAGCAACCGGACCTGAAGGATTCAAGAAGAGAAGGACTCAGAGGCGGAAGGCATGCCACATGATGATCTATACCCCTTGAAACTGTGGTGCTGGGACCTGCGGCCAGGAGCAAATTCTGGTGAGAGGGTGAGACCTCCACCTCATGTGTCTACGGCTAACAGGAATGCAATGGGGAAGTCATCCGCTGGGAAGAGGGCAAGGCACTGGGTAAGGACACAGAGGGTGGCCCTAGAGATGCTTTCTGTCTGTGTCTGATCTTGGCTTCTGGGGTACTCTCTTACCACGTGGTGACAGTTGAACTCCTTCATCACTGAGGCCTCGTTGAGAAACTCTATTCTTTCCCGCATACTCGCAGCCTCGTTCACTGTCTTGATGGCTACTCTGGTTTCAGGTTCATCCTTGACCACGCCCTTGGCCACTCCTTCATAGACCATCCCAAAGGACCCTTGTCCAAGCTCCCGGTTCATGGTGATCTTCTCTCGAGCTACCTCCCACTCATCAGGCACGTACACTAGTAAGAGACAGGATTGAGACAGGCATGGAAACAGCCCTTAGAGACAGACCAGAGAATATAAGATGCTGTTCCCTAAAGTCCATGAAAGGAGTATCAAGGCACAAATACAGTCAAGCATAGGCCCTCAGTCTCTGAGGAGTCCATGACACTTTGAGGAAGGAAACCAAGACACCTAAGACAGAAAAGACAACAGTGTTTCCTTCTTTTCTTGGCAAGACCCCAACCAAAGAAAATAAAAAAAAAAGCAAACTAACCCTAAGAGACAGAGAATGTAGGATTTTTTGCTCATCCTCATCAAGGGGTTAGAATGTATGTCAGAAAGAGAGAGTAGTAGCCGAGAATGGAGGTGGGAAGGGAAAAGACCAGTGTGGTGTATGTGTGTGTGTGTGTGTGTGTGTGTGTGTGTGTAAGAGCTAATCTCCTCCTTCTTGGATAAACCTAGATATGAGAAGCTGCCTCTGCATGGACTCTTGGTCTGTGTGCCAGCTAACAGGGCATCTAGCTCCACTGTGGGGTTGCTGAGCACTTGAATACAGCTGCTCCAACTGAAAGGTGCTGTATGTAAAACATACAATATATTTCAAAGGCTTGTTTAAAACAAGTGAAAAGGTAACTTTTAAAAGAGTTTTAAATTTTTAAAATCTATGTGTACATGTGAAAATCTCTCTGTCTGTCTCTCTGTCTCTCTGTGTGTGTGTTTGGATGCCTGGGAAATCCACAAGACAGTGTTGGCTTCTCTGGATCTATAGTTTCAGGTAGCTGTAGGACTTCTCACAGGGGTATTGACTGAACTAGAGTTCTCCAGAAGATTAGTAAGTGCTCTCAACCACTGGGCCATTTCTCCAGCCTTGTATTCCAGAGATTTGGTTAAAAAAAAAAAAAAAATCAAAGTTTAAAGAGATTACTTTTATATTAAAAATGACTGTTGGATTATTAGGTTAATTGAAAAATGTAACTAAGACATATTTCATCAGCTCTGCTTTACACTCAAAAACACGACTAATAAATTAACAAAACAGAAAACAAAAAAAATCCCCATGGCTGTTAGCCACGTGTGGCAGCACATGCTTATAAATCCCCTCCCATCATGCACGGCAGGGAGGCTAGAGACAGGGTGTGTTCCTCTGAGGACAGCCTGGACTACAGAGTGAGATCATGTTTCAAAAAAGCAAGATGTGTCTGTGCTGATCAGACCCTTGGTCCACACACCTCACTCCACCCCTTCCACAGCCGTGCCTCACAAACCCAGTATGGCTGAAATGGAGAAACTCAGCAAGTAAAAACTAAAGGCATAGACTCAAGAGAAAATTCCTTAACTGTTCAAAAAGAGATGACTGAAAAGGAGAAGCAAGAAGGGGCCGTGGAGGAGAGCACAGCGGGTATATACTGTGTGAACTGCAAGCCTTGCCTTCTTGCATTCCTCTGTTCGGCTGTTTAACTCTGGAAGCTGCAAAGAGGTTGGATCAAGTTTAAGCGAGCATGCTGCTCCTTTCACATAAAAGAACCGAGAACTAATGATGATGAAGACTGTGCCTGCCTTTCCCCTGAGGGGAAAGAGAAGAAGTCACATGTTGGTCAAAGAAAAAGAGAAGGGTGGGAGGTGATGAAATCTACAGCAAAAATGCAACATGATTTAAGGTGTCCTGCAGGCTGTAAAAGGCAGTCTAATCCCAGCGCTGTGTTGTTTTTCAAGTGATGTGACTTACTGGAACGCATGGTGTTTTAGGACAATCAGTTTTATGGATGGGTGTTTTGCCTGCAGGAATGCTTGTGCACTATGCACACAGTGCCTGCGGAGGACAGAGGGCTGCATTAGATCCCGGGAAACTGGAGACACAGGTGGTTAAGAGCTGCCACTGTGGGTGCTGGGAATCAGAACAGGGTCTTCTGGAAAAGCAGTCAGTGCTTTCAACTGCTGAGCCACCTCTCTGGCCCCAGAATGCATAAGTTTTAAAACCTAACAAAAGAAACAAAACCAAACCCAGAGGCTAGGGGCTATAGCGCAGGGCAAAATACTGCCTTCTCATGCATGAGGCCCAGGATCCCCTTACTAGTCCCCCGAGTGAGGCAAGTGACCCCTGAGACTGAAGGGACTCGGTGGTGACCCCAGGGATTCGGCCTGGACTGTCTAACCTTAGGAACCTGAACAGAATTCCTTCTCCAGCTTCCATTTTTGGTAATGTTTGATCTGGTTTGACAACAATAAGTGAATAGTTAGAGGAAAGAAGGATGAAGAGAAAGAGAGAAAAAAAGAAGGGGAGCAAGTAAGAAAAACCAAACAAAGGCTCCATCCCACAACTTCAGTGGGTACAGTAAGAACTGAAATAATATTAAATTAGTATGTCAGATCCGTAAAAAGAACATTCGCTCCATTAGAACTATAATCTACATGGCCACTGACAGCCCTGTCTACAGGAGAAAGGCCAGCAGACACTGCCTGGGAGGGGCCTTGTGGCTGTGTTTGATTTTCTGCTTTTAGATGCAGAGCTGCAGCGGAAGGCAAGAGACCACTGGCAGGCCATCACAGTACTCAATCATCCTCATGGCACAAGCACTTACCTCTAAGTGATGCCTTAAGGGAAGGATGTTTATTTTAAATTTGGGGTTGGGATACTTATATTTTGAAGAATGGAACCTACATATTGTGGTGGTTTGAACAGGAGCGGCCCCCACAGGCTCATATATTTGAATGCTTGGTCATTAGGGAGTAGAGCTACTTGACAAGGATTAGGAGGTGTGGCCTTGTTGGAGAAAGTGTATAACTAGGGATGGGCTTTGGGGTTTCAAATGCTCAAGCCAAGCCCAGTGACTTGCTCTCTACCTGCTGCCTGATCCAGACGCAGAACCTCAGCTACTCTCCAGCACCATGTCTGCCTGTGTGCCGCCATGCTTCCCGCCATGACAGTAATGGGCTAAACCTCTGAAAACTGTAAGCCAGACCCAATTACATGCTTTCCTTTATAAGAGTTGCTGTGGTCACGGTGTCGCTTCACAGCAATAGAACACCAACTAACACATCTATCTATCTATCTATCTATCTATCTATCTATCTATCTATCTATCCATCCATCCCTATTGACTGATTTTGTGACAGGATTTTTCTATATTGTTCATACTTGCCTTGAACTTGCTACATAATCCAGGCTGGCCTTGAGTTTATTTTTTTCTGGTTCAGTCTCCCTAGCACTTGGATTATAGGTATGCACCACTGCATTTGGCTCCCATGCACATTTTTTTCACTTCATGGCACATATGGGGCTAGTAATTTCCCAAATAGAATTTTGTCTTCTATAGGCCTCAGACAGCTTGTGACTCTGCAGAAGCTGTGCTTGCTTAGGAGAGAATAGAAGACAAGGTCTTTATAGTCTCTCTCAGTAAGTACGGGGGTCACTGTCTCCATTTTTTATCTCTAAGGATCCAGGCTAGCTTTTAATGAGAATTAACTATGTGGTTTGCCACAGAACATGGAGTTAAAGCCAATCACATCCATTCCTTGGGAGGTTCCTGAAGTTAATGCCCTCAAGCCTTTTTCTAAATTCAATCCAGCTGCTGACTCAAGCCAGCTTCCCTCAGCTTCAGCAGCCAGAGCCCATCATAAATACGCAGTGTTATCAGCACTTTCCTGTAGGGGATTCTCAGTGCTGTCTTAACAACAGCGACATGCAGATTAACTCTGGGAGAAAGAAGTTTTTAAGCACCTTTGAGCGGCAATGTCACTTTGTAGCTCTTTGAGGAAAAAGGCTTGTGTTGCCGTACTTGTCAAAAGGCCAACTAAAGCAAGTTCAGATGAGGTGAGAGTTTTCTCACCTGTTGGCCTGGGTGTTGACAAGTTTGTTTTTGCTTTGTTTTGAAGAAGAAGAAAGAAGAAGAAAGAAGGAGGAGGAGGAAGTAGCAAGAAGGAAGAAAGAGAAGAAGGAGGAGGAGGATGACAACTATTTCTCTGGTCCCTATTTTCTCTTTTACAAAAGCAATTATTGACCTGGACAGCATGGCTGTATGGTTCTGGCTGCTTAGGAGACTGAGGTAGAGTGTGAGGATCACTTTAGCAGTTTGACACTAGCCTGTATAATATAGTAGGGCTTTACAGTAAGGCTCTGCCTCAAAAAAAAAAAAAAAAAAAAAAAGTTCTTTATATAAATAAGGCACGTTTACTTTCCTGATTTAGCTTGTTTGTTTTTGGTGGTGTGGGGGCAGAGCCCAGGTTCTGGAACACTTTAGGCAAATGTTCTATCACTAAGCTACATATCCAAACCTGTTCTGTTTGTTTTTAAAGGAGAAAGATCTTCTCTGTAAGTAACTATGCTTCTAAGAGTGGTGCACCCCCTTTGTGAGTACCTTTTATGCTTTACAGGTGCAAACACATGCATGCATGGCTATTTAAAAAATAACTCCGTGAGACCTTTTGTAAAGCGAAATAACATCATATTCTGCACCTGATTCAAATTCAGAAGAGGCTGTTTTTGATTGGCTTCACTATAAATATAATTCAGTTAGAAATGATTAAAGAAACCTTACAACCATACGCATTTGCAAAGTGCTTTTAACTTAGGAAGCGTTCCTCTGCTCTTGAATTTCAGCGGGTTAATCAGTTAGAATAATCCTGACTCTTTATTTCTTATCTTCTGCACATCTACTTATACTTCTACAGCAAGAGAACATTTATCCTGAACATACTCCAGCAATGCACGGACCTGAGCCAGCCCCCCCTTCCCCCCCTTGTGGCCAGCTTCCCTGACTAAACAGTCCTTTCAAACATCATGCCATGAGGATTCAGGAGGCTGGGATGACCCTTTGTCCTGACTTCTTACTGCTCAGCTAGGGGTGCCTAAACAAGTCCTCAGAGTCTTTCCTTGTCAGCACCTAAATAGGCATGAGAAATGCTACAAGGTAAGCTTAGTGAGGAAATGGGATTTTTTTTTTTTTTTGGAAAGTCCTACAACTTAGGGACAGCATTACAGGGACCCTCCCCAACTTACTTCAAATGTCTCAAGTTAAACATAAGCACTAGGTAAAAACAAAACAAAACAAAACAAAACAAAACAAAAAAAGGGACAGTATAACGGACAAAAGAAGAAATAACTACTAGGTACAACCCAGGTTCCAAATTGGAACTTCTGAGCCATTTAATTAAATGACTTTCATTAGTTACTGCCAAAGGGAACGTAAATGGGGGCATAGGTTGTAAGGCCCTAATCAGGACAGAATAGCAGAGGGATTCCAAGATCATATAAAGTTATAATATAGTAGATAGTTGTAGTGAGGCCAGGGAACAGCTGGAGGCTGACCCCTAGATAAAGCCCACTCAGGACTGCCTGGCGGCTGCAGCAATCCCTAACTGGACAACAGTAACTAGAACAATTCTTTGATTCTGGAGCGACATTTCAAGTAATGCAGCGTACCGACTTTGGCCATTTGCATCTCTAGAGCCCGGCTTTTGAGAGTCCCAGAACTTCTGACAACGTCACTGAGCATTAAAAATGTTATTAAAAGACAAAATGAAATGCTATCCAAGGCATATCCCAGGACAAAGGTACTTCAGAATTATGCAAAGCTTTTCTCTAATTAACAACACCCATATTCCCCCACCTTGGCCAGGACCCTTACCATCAGCTGCGCTGAAATACTCGGGGTTCACAGAGGCATACAACACTCCATTGCCCAACCTGTTGTTATTTCTGTCAAAAAAGACAAAATTCAGGTCAACAAACACCATCTCTATACATTTCTGTAAATTCCTTTCCTTCCTTCCTTTTATTCCTGTTTCACGAATTATCTTGAGAGAGGGAGCAAAAGTATGCTCCCTGCTAATGGTACGCTTGTCTGTACTCCTGACTCAGGCCCTGGTGGGGCCAGCAGATACATGAAGAAAAGTCTTTCAGATTCTGCTGTGGCCTCAGATTTGAGCTTTTAAAAAAACATGTGTTTCTTTGCTTCACTGGAAACAACAAGTCTCAGTCCAGGGGAGGGCTAAACTGGCATTCTCGGAGAAGCTCTTCATTCAAGTTCAAATCATCAAAATAGCTTGATTTAACTACCATCTTGTGGCGCAGAAACTCACCTCTTTCTATGGAAGACATACAGCATGATTACCAGGCCCCCCACGATCAGCAGGATGGCGACTGGCAGAGCAATGATCAGATGCATGAAATTCTCATACGTCGCTGCAGAAACAAGGAAGAAACAGGAAGATGCCCTGAGGTGAATAATTGTCTTATGCTGTCATTTTTATCCATGGTTGGAGATATGTTAAAACCATCTCGGAAAAAGCCTTTACTTGTAACCTCACCACACAGTATGAATCGTCAAGGCAGTGTCAGGACTATCCCAGCAAATAAGCTGAATCATTTGGAAATTAAAAAAAAAAAAAAAAAAGGTAAATGAATACAGATTGAAGTATATACTCCTTTAAAGTACTGCATTTTCTGAATATAGCTCAAATGATGGGCCTGGAGGCAAATAATTTTTGTATGTAGGCTCACGGGAAGTGCATACATTTGCTGAAGTTAAATGAACAGACGCTTACACATACTAACTGCTCATTCTATGCTGATCTTTTAGAAAGTTCCATGGACAGCTTACTCACCGCCCCCGGTACCCACATACTGGAGTCGACACTTCTTGCCAAGGTTGCTCTGAATTTTCTACAAATATGTGAAAGAAACTGAAGTCTCAGACTGTAGGGCTTGTCACAGAGCTTGATGTAGACACCACATGATGGGGTTCAGGTCTGCACCTCTCAAAATTCTACCAGATACAAGAACTCTTTATGTGTTCAGGTGGAGTAGCGTGAATGCGCACAGGACAGGAAATGCATAAAGAAAAGAGGAGGTGGGGAGACGAGGGGCGCCCCTCGAGAAAAGTCCTTTAGGCAGAGTCTTAAGAAAGGTACACTTTCCCCTAGGGAAATAGCTTCCCATGCAGAGGGATGTCTTGCAGATGGCACTTAATGAAAAGTCAGCCAATGAGGGAGTCTGGCTCAAGCTAAGTGGTTCATTCCATTCTGCAGATTAAAAGGAGTCAGTGGCCCAGGAGTAATGCCTACGAACCACAACAGTGACCAGAACATCAAGATGTTCCTGAGCGTGCAATAGTAGCACTTATACCTTGGGACAACCAACAGCTATCTAACTGGACTTAAGGCTGCACCATAGGAGGAAATTCTCTCCCGATACTGTCTACCCAGCCTATTATCTGTATCTGATGAGAAGAACATACTAAGCCAGCACTTTCCTAAACCAGCCTACTTTTAACTGCATTTTAAACACACATGCTTATCCCCACAGATAAGCCCAGCTCCCAGTTGTCCCCAGAGAAGCTTCTTTATACAGCAGATGGAAAGGATTAGAGAAAACCCCACCTGGTCAACATGCAGAGAACAGACTGTGGGGTACATTTCCAATCGCCAGATCTCCATCACAACCCCCTCAACGAAGGCTCATGAAACACTGCAGACAAGTAGGCGGTGAGATTCTATGAGCCAGAGCAGCAGGGTGTCTGCTGAGAGATGGTATCCTCTATCTATGACACTTGCGTACATGAAATCTCAACAAGATGGTTACCTAAACTTGCATAATGGCATCAGTTGATATGCTTACAGGGTTGGGGAAAATAAAACAAGGCCCTACTTCGAGATGAAAAGCTACAAGCAATTAATGGCTGTTGGGAGAAGGAGAATCAGTCTTTGCAGGCATAATAGCTCCCTGATAGGCTATCCAATCCCATGTACATACATTCACACATAACCATATACATACACATAACACTAAAAGGACTTGGCAGGGCTGTGAGGGTGTGTACACACATACATATGTACGTATATATTTGTGTGTGCATGTGCTTACATGTTGTATATAAACAATAATTAAAGAAGTAGTTATGAATTTGAGGGGGGACATGAGAGGCGTTGTGGGAGAGAAAGAGATGAGGTCATTCATAGTTAGAAATTCTCAAAAACTAGTATTAAAACTAAATAAATTAAAAAAAGCATTAGTGAACTCTTTCAAGGCTGGAAGTAAACTGATCAGATTCATGTACTGACTGGGGAGGCGTGTGTATATGAGGACAGACCGAGAGGCCCTGCGCACTGCCAGGTCTGGGAAGAGCTAAGGGAATGTGCCATTCTCCCATGGCATGCTGTGTACTGCTCAATTTAGACTTCAGGAAGAAATCCTTTTATATAAGCAAGATCAGAGAGATGACCTAACTTTTCCAGGGGCTGCAAGGGTAACTGGCAAGTCAAGTTCCAAAGTGAGAGCCTGGCTTTCCTGCAGCTCCTGCTCATAACGGCCCCAACACAAGAACTGGGATGCTGGATTCCAGATAGAGACCAGAAAGAATCTTCGAGACTCCAGTCAAAATGGAAAAACAAACAAACAAAAATGAGTGTCTGGAGAAAAGGAAGAGAGCCATGAGTCCTGTGACCAATGGGATGCAGATACGGAATTATAAAGGATAGAGGCATTTCAATGGCAGCACTCTGGATTTCAGGCTTATAACAAGTCCACAGTAACTACTGGACGCCCAAGTAGACACGCCTATACAATGGGATGGCTTTGTGGGCAAAGACACTTGCTGTGTCACCGTGGCAACCTGAGTTTAATCCCTGGAACCTGAGAACCAACTCTTCAGTTGTGCTCTGACCCTCTCCATGTGTGCTGTGGCACAAAAGCCCACGAATCCACATTGAGCAACAACACCCATAAACGAAAAATGGAAATGTCTACCGGAAAGGAGCTCGGAACTCACTGGAGGCGTGTTCACGGACCAGAAGTCACTCACCAATGCTTGGTACAGCTCCAAAATATTTTCTTATTCTTGAAATATTACAAAAGTGAATTCATGTTTTTCAAGTTAAATTTATTTCTTTATCAAGTATCTTTCAAAATGAATGAGGTTCCAGTTTCTAAAAGTACTCAAAAGGTATCTCTGCCAGTGAAAAGCTCGCAGCTCTTCTTTTCCCCTAAGAGAGTTCGTGGTTTTCTATTACTGATATTACCGGTCAGGCTGTGCTGTGTTCTTTTTGAGTTTCACATTTCAACAGGGACACAGAGAAACTGGAACACATCCAGAAGAACAAAACTGCTAGGAAACTGTCTATGCAATTGGTCTTCAAGAAAGGGCTGAAAGACCCGAGAATATGTAATCTGGAGGGGGAGCAGTCTGAAGAGGAATTTAATGGAATTCAAGCAGGCAGAGTTCCTTAGAAACAGCAGGTGGTGCAGCACTTTAAGAGCGTCCTCCTCTGAGGATTAAACACAAGGAAACCACACTAAAAGGCCCCAGAACAGTCTTGTCGGAAACCAGGAAAACTTCCCAGAAGCAGAGAGAGCTCTCGTGCAGCTTCCATCCCAGTGGAGAAACCCCTTCAGAGGGCCTCTTAAGATCCCCCGTAGGCATCCTGGTCTTGACATTTCAAACACAGAACAGCTACGGCAGCTACAAACATGTCCTCTCCTAAGAAAAGCCAGGCTCACTTAGTTTCAGAAACCAAGACTGCTACTTCAGAGAAACGCCATCAAATTTCTAGACCTAGGCTCTGTACCCTCGGAACAAGCAGGAGGGTGGGGAAGGGTTGGGGGAACTATGACTAAGCCAGGAGAGAGCTGCAGAAACAATGGGGTACTAGTGTTGGTGTGGCAGCCCAGAGTTAGAGGGTAGATGACCCCCACAGGCTCAGATGTTTAGGGCTTGGTCATCAGCCTGTGCAACTACTGGGAAGTAATGGCAACCTTACAAGGTGGGACCTAGAGGGAGAAGGTTAGGTCCTTGGAAGACAGGCGCCCTTTGAGAGAATCTGAGACCTGGCTGCTTTCTCTCTTTTGGAGGTGAACAGCTCTGTTCCACCATGTACTCCCTGCTTGTGGTGTTTTTGTCTCAGCACAGTCCAAGAGTAATAGAGCCAATTGATGATGGACTACATCCTCAAACTGTGAGCCAAAATAGTGGTCCCTCCCTCTAATTATCTCGTGTTTCCTCACAGGGAGAGCTATTGTGACATCACAACGAAGAGTTAACATATAAGCTAAGCTATCTGGAATAAATGAGAAAATCCAGATTATAATTCAGAGAATGCCCCATGTCATTATTCCTAACACCTCAATTCTGGGCACAGCAGCATCAGACACACGTTTATAATTCCATTTGCCTCTGTCCTTCTGCTGTCACTATGCGGATTTTTGGCTGGACTATCAAGAGTTTTAACTGACATGAAATTATATATTATACATATATATTTACCATATACGACATTATTTTAAAGCATGCATACGTTAACCTAATCGACAGAAGCATTAACTCACATTGTCGCCATTTTTTTTTTTTTTTTTTGTGGTGATAACACTTTCTTAGCAATATTCAAGAATGCCTTATTAGCTACAGTTAGTATGTTATACAATTTATCTCTTGAACGTATTCCTTCCATCTAAATGAGGACCAACACCCCGTAAGTTCTCCTAGGAATCATGGGACTCTTGTAGAGTTCTTCCTTTTGGATTTATTTCACATGTAAGTGAGGTCATGCGGTCTTATCTTTCTGTACCTTCTGCTAGTAGGTAAGGACTCTACTCCACACACGGGCCTCATTTTTCACCCACTCATATGCTATTACCGTTGTTTGGTTTATTGTGACCAGCGCTGTAATAAACAAAGAAGTGCAGATTTCTCTTCTGCACAACTCACTTCATTTCTTCCGGATAACTACTCAGGGTGGGGATTGCCGGATCTGGAGAGACCTTGTTTGAATCAAGAACCCAGAAGAGACCCGTAGGGGCACAGACACTAGCAAACAACTGTTCACCAGAGCCAAGACTCTAGACCAAGCTGATATTTTGGTGGGGTGCAAAAGGAATTCACATTCGATATTATATGTTTGTTTATATATTACATAAACATGATATAATCTAAAAAAAACTTGGTTTTTCAGAAGACCTATATAAACATTCACTACGTACAAAATTTCACCAAAAGACTAAAAATTTCACAGTCAAACAAGTAAGCAGCCCTTGCATTTAAACATTTCACAATATTTAGTTTTAAATCTGAAACCATCATACAGAACAGCCTAAGAATTCTATCTTCTCAGTGGTTTCCGTGAAACTTGTAACATTATCCAGCAGTCTCTGTGCAAAATGGTGAGTACAGTATCTTTTTTTTTTGTTTGTTTAAATACAGTATCTTTCATTGCATATTGGTAGATGGAAAGTTCATTTTTTTTTTTTTTTTAAATCACTGGACAGATGGGGAGAGAAGAATGCCTCTGCCTGGATGCTGTCCTGGAAGAGTCCAACCTTAGAGCAGAGAGACCAACCAGATGATCCTTTGGGTTTCTTTAGCCTCATGATTCTGAGCCTTGGATCTGAGCCCTAGCCAGTCTCGCTGACCAGGCAGGAGATGGAATGTTCAACTAAATGCTTTGCAAAATGCCCCCACACATGAGCCACGGTAAAAGCAAAGGCATTTTCTGGCTCTCCACAGGTGTATGACCCTCTTCTAGTTTGTCACGTGAGCTAAGGATCCAAGGCTCAGCACCTTCCCAGGCTGAGATGCCAGATAACACAGCTTCCTTAGTGTGACCCTGTGGGAAAGCTGCCTAGCTCCTGTGTGTCTGTGGGTGAGTATGTGTGTTTCTGGTGTGGGGTGGCAAAGAGGGGTGACGGTGGTGGCACACAGGGGTAAGTGTCAAGTGGCCTCTTCCTTTTTGGTTTGCCATCTCATTTTTCGAGGCAAGGTCTCTCACTGAACCCAGAGCCCCACCATGGGCTAATCTGGCTAGCCGGCAATCTGTGAGACTTTACTGCCACTCCACTGAACAGAGGTCACAGAAGCACACTACTGGCCCTAGTTTTGATGTGAAGAATCTGAACTTAGATCCTAAAGCAGGTGCTTTTCCTAACAAGCCACCTCCTCAACCCAGCCAGCTTTATTCTAACAGAAAACCAGAGAACCTCTGAAGCCCAGGGCTTCTGAATCCTGGCCCACCCAGCTTTTAGTTTTACCAGCCATCTCCCTCAGTAAGACTTACTTTTGGCTGGGACATAGAAGAACACGGGATCTGTCCACGACCCATTCCCAGAGAGGGAGGTAGCCTGAATCCGGGCTGTGTAGTTCCCAGGGTTTAGCCGGTTAAGCTTGGCCCCTCCATACTTCCTGTACTCCTGTCTGGACACACATTCCCGCTGATCCTATGGAAATGAAATGTAAGTGTTAAATTTCCTACAGGCAGGATCGGACGCCTGCTGGTAACTCCAGCTGCCCAACAACTAACTGTTCAGGTCATCACCAATATGAAGGAAGCAATTACGTCTGTAAGAAGGTGATCTTTAGGTGGCACCATAGGAAACTGTAATTGAACAGACAGGACTCAAGAGGAATGAAAAGTTATCAAGACGTGTCTAGTCTGTGGCATGAGGTCTATCTACGGTGACACTGTAGGTGAAGGTACAGCCTGCTCCTTGCACCCTAGTCACCAGTGAGTAAAGCATGGCACTGCTGGGAAGCCCCTGATCTCACTGACTGGCCACCACTGTGTTGTCTGTTCAGCTAGCCAGCAGACCACTGGCATGCAACAGCATGCGCTCTCAGTGCCGGCAGAAACCCATGCAGCTGCAGGCCACCATCCCAGTCTTACCTCCACTTGCGCCCCATATTTTATTTCGTACATCAGAATCAAGCCGTTGGGGTTCTCAGGTTCTGGCCACTTTAAGAAGATGGAATTTTCAGGTCTTGGTTCCCAGGTCACTGGTCCAGGAATGTCATCTGCTCCTTCTGCATAACAATGTAAGCAAGTGGCCAAACTGGGTTTAGGTCTCCAGAGAAGATGACAAGTGGTGGGCTAACATGAGGGTGACTCTCCCCTGATCCTTGTTTATTCAGGACTCTCAACAGGGACCTTGTAGGAGGAGTCCTCCTGAGACAGCTGCTGGCACAAGGTGGAGGATTAGGGGTTGGACCTGCCTGGTGACCTGCCATCTCAAGACGGCACCTCCCTTCTGACCCTGTGACTGAGTATAAGCAAACAGTCCTGACAACCTATGTAACTTTCTCCAGCTCCATTTTCCTAACAACAAAACAAAACCAACCAACCAACCAACCAACCAACCAACCAACCAACCAACCCCAAACCAAAAAAACCAACAACAAAAAAACTTCAAACACAGCAGCCCTGGAGGAGGGCAGTGAGCTTCAGTGTGCTGAGCCTCCAGCTGCGGCATTGACTCTCTGCAGCCTCTCCTTACAGCAACTGCAGCTTCCACATGGGACCCCAAAGGGCCAGCTACAACGCTGGCTTCTGAGGCAAGCTGTTTCTACCATCGTCGTTTTCAGCTGCTGCCGGCCTCACTTCTGAAACCAAGGTGGTGAACCAAAGCTGTTCAGAGAGAGGCCCTGGCTTGGAGGTAAGCTGCTTTCTATCTCTTCTAGGAGGCTGGGGAAACTGCCCAGGAGCTCATGTGAGTGCCAGAGGCAATCCCAGAAGCACCTTCTGCCCCAGTTCTCATCACACTATGTTTTTCCCTCTGCTTGGCATCTCCTTCAGAAACGAGAAGCTGTAGCTCACTCAGCTTGGAATGAATGGCTGTCTGGGTGCTGGGCAGTGTCTGCTATAGAAGCAAGCCCATGGGCTGCTCCCTTTGAGCACGAGGACACTGCTTCCTTTGAATCAAGGCAGCTGCTTTACTTGGGACTTGGAGTATCTCTCCTAAGGCTGAGGGGGACTAAGAAGGCCTTATGTCTTCAGTCTCTAGCCCATGGCACTACTGGGAGGAGGCAGACTCTTTAGGTGATGGGCCTCACTGAAAGAAGTCAGGCCACTGGAAAGCTGCATTGAAGGAGACTCTCCTCTTTTTCTCCACGGCTGCCAATGGGGAAAATAGGTTTCCTTTACCAACTACTGCTGACAGTATGCTGTTTCACTGCAAAAGCAATGAGGCAGGTGCCTGTTGCCTGAAACTCCCAAATATCAAGCCCGAAATAAACCTTTCCTCTCGGTACGATGATCATCTCAGGTGTTTTGTGACGGTGATGGAAAGCTAACCCACTCAGCTTTGTACAGAAGGGCACAGGGACAGGGTGAGTGCTCAGAGTGAACCAAGCCAAGGAGTGGGAGCCTTGACAGAGGCTTGTGAAGATGTTCTACGGTGAGCCTGAAATGGGAGCTGGCACTGGGAGCATGTTCTCTGTTCCTTAGGCACCTGACGGGCAAGGCTGTGTGCCAGCGATCACACAGTTGTGGGACTGAATCTAAGATCTGTCAGCCTTTCTCCCTAGGCTGTGGGGCGACCTGCCATACCTGCCGGCATGGTTCTTGCAAAGACAAAGTTGGAGGCACTGCAGCCCAGCTTCTCAGCCTCATGGTTGCAGCTGTGGATGTCAATGCGGTACAAAGTGAAAGGCCGGAGGTTGGAAATGACAGTTCTCTCCTTGTTATCCACCCTGCTCTCGAAGAAAGGGTATTCTGTCTCGAACTCTTCTGGGTCTGTCATATTGTAGGTGTCAGCCATGGTAGTGTTCCTGCTTCGGCTAGACATGGTGGTGTTGGCCACTTGCATGACATCTCTCCGCCTCCTTTCAGGTCTGAAAAGAAGAGAAGGTCAGCTAGTAAGTTCTTTGGCTTTCTTTATGTCTTTTCTGCCGCCAGGGTGGAAATAACAAGAAAAGGAAAATCCTAACCTTGAAATAAAAGACACCATTCAGGTTCCTTGGATAAGAACCAACAAGTAACAAGGGGATTTCCTCCTTCATGACCTATCTTGCATTCTCTGTAGCACCCTCAGAGAAACACACACACACACACACACACACACACACACACACACACACACACACACACACACACA